TACACAAAGCTGTCCTGGGCAGAAAATGTGCCAGATTTGAGAGAGAAGCTTGTGAAGTAATCACAGGCACCAAGACCAAACAGAGAAATGAAGATGCTTGGAGAATACTCACACCGAAGTATGGAACGCACAGTATAGAAAAAAATTCTGGAGTTTCTGTCTTTATAATACATTTAAAGTTTGCGGGGAGAGGAGATTTAGGGAAAGGCAGACCCAGGAGGGATAAAAACTGAACTGTCAGACTCAGAGCAATTAAGTCCATCAGAACGGAACAACCGCGAAGGAAGGTGAATTTCTTGGCTTATAAACCTTCACATTGCTCCTCTGTGCTTTGGATATGTAAATGCCTTTGCCGACTGGCAGCACCAGAGGAGGGAACAGCCTCCTTATCCATCCAAAGTCTTGCATCTGCTCCAGAATCTTATCACAGCGCTCTAGGTGTAATTAACTTGAGCGATGACATGCCCTTGAGAAGGCTGTCAAAAGCTCTCTCCCTAAAGAACAGTCAAGCACTCTCTAGGGGATCAGAAGCAGAGGGAAGTGGGAAGCCCACCACCCACATCACTAGCATGTAGGCTCCAGGGAGAGGGATCTTAAACTGTTGTAGTTTCCAGACAAAACACCAGGCAAGGGCAAGCATGCAACAACTATTTAATTAGTGTCTAGAAAGAGCCGCACCCTGGGACTGAGATTTCCTGTTCCAGGCTGGTCTCTCTGCCTGGTCTGTGACGTCAGGCAAGCTAACTTCCCTCGGTGCATTTTTACAACACACACAGGCTGATGTGGCCTCTACTTCCTCACCTAGGAAACTATATAGGCTCTAAAGACCCTTCTAGCTTTAAAATTCAACATATCAATACATCTGTAAATCATGTATGTATCAATATATATTTGCTTGCAGCTCAGCTAAGCCTAACTGATAACAAGTGGACTACTGTTATAGTTGTCCGATAAAATATAAGACACCCAGCTAAATTTGAATTTCAAATAAACCACAAATACTTTTTTAGCATAAGTAGTTCTGTGCAATATTTGAGACAAATATTTAGGGCCTTTGCCAAATCTGACCACTTTAACTATTTGTCTTCTATCCTCCAGATATCGTAATCTTTTGGAGAGGCAGTTAATTCTTACATCTTTGGAATCCCTTACTATTGTGTTAGCCAGATTTTTGGATTTCACAGAGTAAATATTATCAGATTTTCTTTGAGGGCAAAACAATTTTTTATTCTGGCAAATAAGAGGATTTATAAACATCATTGCTTTACTAAAGAAAACCAGTTAAACATTAAAAATTCTGACATAAGAGCACTTGGATGGCTCAGTCAGTTAAGCATCCAACGTTCGCTCAGGTCGTGATCTCGCAGTTCACAAGTTCGTGCCCCGCATCAGGCTCTGTGCTGACAGTTCAGAGCCTGGAGCCTGCTTCAGATTCAGTGTCTCCTTATCTTTCTGCCCCTCCCCGATTCGTGCGCATGCGCGCGTGCTCACTCTCTCAAAAATAAACATTAAAAACATTTAAAAAAACTGACAAACCCTCATTTTACATAATTATATACTTATCATTTATACCTATATAAATATTTATATATATTTACAATGATATAGTTATAATTATATGTAATTATATTAATCATTAAAAAATGTTATCTTTACAAAATACTCACTAAATTGTCCTTTTGTTTGTGGGTTTCTAAGACAACCAGGTGATACTTCTCATCACTTTGGCACTGCCCAGCTGCTCTGTGTTTGTAGGCTTTAGCTGTGTGGTCCTGGCACCACTTAAATTTTTTTTTTTTGCTTTAGCTGTCAGGAAAGTCTGAGTTCAACTGGAGCTCAATTGCTATAGGTATCTCCTCTTCTTTCTCCATCCCTTGGCTCCTGTGCTGTCCTTCAGGCTCTAAACCTTTTAATGAATGAACTTTAACTTAAGATGCCTCAAGAACTTCTGAAGTATGGAGGGGAAACCCCTTTCTTATAGTGAGGCCTCAACAAATGATGCTGTAGGCAAAACATGTGAATATTAAGTGGCGTCTGATTATATTACTTGCTGAAGATGACTTTTTTTTAGTGAATTCTTATTTTTAATGTCCCATTCTTAGAATTTTAGTAAGTGAGAGCTAGAAAGGTAATTGCAACTTCTAATCCAATTCCAGACCCACCAAGTTGGGACTTTGGGGGATAAGATCCACAAATCTACAGGATCCGAATCACACTGGTCCACATGCCCTTCTAGTATGTATCAAAGGGCAATATGTGGTTTTACAGGTTTTATGGGATTGAGCACAACAGAGTGAAGTCACTGTTACATGAATAGGGGACAGACACGGGTGAAAAACACAGCACCCAACATTTTTAGCAAATTAATGGACTTTGTTGGGCGACAAGGAGGGCAAGTAAAGGTGTTCATTAATTTCTGTTCATCTGTATAGTAGAAAGTTCTTGCTGGGTGAAGAGAAATGAAAGACCAAGAAGATTTACCTTGAATAATAGCAACATCCATCTGGCATCTGTTCTGGGATTTCACAGTTCACTAAGTACTTCTCTTGTCTTGCTTTGATCCTCACCACAGGAGATTTAGCAAGGTGGTATTGTTTTCCACCTTAACTTTGCTGTTGAGAAAATGGAGGCACAGTCGCTGTGTTTGCGTGGTCATAAAAGAGGTAGAGTGAGATTTGCATGCTTTCTAGTCCTAAATGTCTCTGAAGTTGGCTAAGACAAGCCAATGTCTTTGTCAGTTAAAATGATTTACATGTTTCAAAACTGACTTTGTGTTTCAAAAGTCACACAATTCTATAGTATTATAAGAAAATCCAAATAATTCAGAAAAACATATAGATTAAAAAGAAGAGTGTGTCCCATCCTGCTCTGGTCCTGAGCAGTTTGGTGAGTTTTTGGGTTTCCTTTCCAGACCTTTTTTAATGAGTTTACATGCATTTATCGGTAAGGCTTTTTTCTTTCCTTCTTCCTTTTTTAATGGATCAATCTATATACATTGCTGTGCTTTGCTTTTCTTAACATTATATCTTGGCCATTTTTACAAGTCCTTAAGTAGAGATCTACCTCTTTGGTTTTAAGTGAACCATGTTTGAAAACAGAATAGAAATCTTTGTGTACACTGATAAAGAAATATTATATTTACCACCAATGTGTAATAACTGAGTGGACTGTGTAAGGAAAGGGGTACTGATGCTCAGAAATGGGGTAAACTGACTCTGATAGTGTCAGTTTAGAAAATTTCCCTCTAGAACAGGAACTTCGGAATCAGAATCACAAATAGCCTAACAAAGCCTTGAAAAAGCGAATAGCTGCCTCAGTTTCCCCATCTAAAGAAGAGGGATACGAATAACATATGTTCCAAAAGCTTATCGTAAAGATTAAATAAGATAACTCACATTAAATGGTCAGCACAACCACCGGTGAAGACAATGATGATGACCACGACGCCAACTCTCCTTAGTTCGTGAAAGTCAGGTAGGAGTTTGGACAAAGAAGGGGGGCTTAAATTGCGAGGTTATCGATACCTAGAATGGACGCTCCAGGGGATACTTTTTATTAAGAGCTACCAAATTAATCCGCTGTCTGGGATGCCCCTGGAGACAACTGAGACCGCGAGACTCTAGTTTTGGAAACTTCCAGTTTCGGAAACTTCAAGACCTGGTAATTTGGCTAAACCTTTGTGGGAACGGAGGACTACAATTCCCAGGCTGCACTACTCCAGTTCCGCCCCGCCCACGTCGTTGCGTGTCATCTAATTCCCGCCAGGCTCATGGCTCAAACTACAGGTCCCGGAAGACCTTGCTGCACCGGTCCAATCACCGGGCTCATCACTCTCACTTTGTGAAGCGTAACTGCGGTCGCGTTGCCCGCTGGGAAGCGAAGTTCGCCGAGACTGGACTCCCCCTCCCCCTCCAGGCCCAAGCGCGGCAGTAAGGTGGGCGAGCTGGCGGTGCTGGAATACCCGCTTTTAACCGATCACCAGAAAGGGTAATCTAGCTCGGGAGGGGTCTGGAGAAGCCCCTGGGTTCAGGGAGGCCTCAAACGTGGCTCGCGTCCAGTGCCTATGGGTGAGAAGGCGGGCGAGACCAAATGCCAGCTTGGGAGAGGGAGTGGGGCCACGGGGAAGGGTGGATCCAAGTGTAGATAATAGGGGTGGAAGTGGGGCGTGGCGCTGTTATTGCCCAGCGGGGCGGGAGGCGCGCCCGCAGAATGGGGTGGAGCAGGGGGTCGCAGCCGAGAGGCAGCGGGTTGTTGGTGTGGGTGGGTGGGGATGGCTTCTGGATTTGGGGGCTGATTAGTGGGATTTCTTCATACTCTGGCCTTGCCTCCCGCAGTCTGCGCACCCGGCCTTGGGCCTGGATAACTTGGGGGTGCAGGAGAGCCCTGGTTGGAAAGTTAGGAGGTGTTACCCAGGAAGCCTGAAGGTTTCACCCATGACCTGGGGACAAAGCCTTTGCCATATCCTTCGTAACTGCTGGTGACTAGAGGAAGGGCCTCAGGGAGGTACCATGGAAACCCCATGTGTTGCAGAGTTCGGTCCAAAGGGAGTCTCAGCAGCAAGGAAAGCTTTAAACCCTCTCAGAGGCCGAACGGTGCTGCTGGACTCCATCCCCATGTCATCATTGCGAACATTCACGGATGGAAGTCTAGTCAGAACCAAGCCAGAGAAGTGGGTGTCCAGCTCCTTGGTTCTAGAATATTGTAAAAGGTTGTATTGTTCATAGAAAAAGTCCAAGTAAATAAATTGAAAAAAAAATCAGGATACCAAACTATGTAATGATCCTTTTTTGTAATACATGTTTCTCTTGAAGATGTGGCATGCATCTGTGGATGGGAATTTTAAAAAAATCACTCTAAACTACTCTAAACCGCTAACAGTCTTATTGATGGGTGGTGAGATTACAGACTAATTTTACTCTTTTCTGTACATCTTTTTGTAGCATCTGAATTTGTACAATGAGCGTGCATTACTTTTTTTTTTTTTTTTTTGCTGATTTTTCCAAAAGAGTCGTGGTTGCACTACGGTGATGCACTTTGCACGGCAGGCACTAGGGCCGACTGATTTGTGGCTTTCACCTGGCCTCCTCCAGGTTGGTTTGCCAGAAATGATGACAGGATTGATTTGAGGGATGAATTTAGTGTGCAGTCCATGTGAGGCTAATGCTATTTTCCTTCTTTGTTTCTTCCAGGTTGGCCACAGGCTATGTTAGCAGGTGTCACACCATGGTATGTGGCTGCTTTGTCTGTCAGTCTAACCCATGATCACCTCTGGTTTGAACTGTCACCCTTCTCATCTGATAGATCTAGGTTGCACTGCATAACTTCCTTGGGAATCTGATACCTCACATTGGCTGTGGGGGGAGGTGACGATGAGAGGGAGAAAAATATTGCAGCAAAATTACCTTTGGATTTGATCTCACCTTGCTTTTTGCTTTTTTGTCAGTGTCTTTGTGTTAGTGTATGCTCCCTATTCCCCCTGTGTGTGTGTGTGTGTGTGTGTGTGTGTTTAATTATAAAAGAAACTTTAACATATCCCTTGATTGTGTTCCTTGTGTATTTCCTGGGACAAAAGCTTGTGAAAATCAAGGTAGGAGCATGGCAAATAAATATATGTGGTATTTATTTCAATATTGTTTTTGCTTCCTCAGCTTCTGCCAAGTTTCTGATTGAGGAGTGACATCCCTGCATAAGCATTTCCCTGTTAAAATGTCCTTGCCTCTCACAGAGCAGCAGAGGAAAAAAATCGAAGAGAATCGACAAAAGGCCCTGGCCCGTAGAGCTGAGAAATTATTAGTGGAACAGCATCAGAGCGCGGGTTCTGGCTCCTCCATTGCCACCAACTCTTCTGGGTGGAAGCAGGGCCCGCCCCCCAGCCTTCCCAGGGAGCCTCCTAAGCCAGCGAGCCATGGTGTCCTTTTTAAGCAACAGAATCTCAGCAGTTCATCCACCAGTGACCAAAGACCCCCTAATCCCCACCATTTTCATCTAGACACGCCACAGCAGGCAAAGGGGAGCGGGAAGATGCAAGAAGATGCACCCACAGCCTGCCTGAGCCATGGCCCACCGACTCAAATGACTGCCACCACGGTCTCTCCTCCGTTGGCACAAAGTCCTCCAGAGGTCCGCACCCAACAGCTGCTGTGTTATCGGTTAGGTCAGGCTCATCCTCAGGCTTCACACAAGACCAAATCCCCACCCTTTGCTAACATAACTCATGAGCCTTTGGCCAAAGCAAAGGGTTTCCAGAAGACACCAGCTTCTTCCTTTGGACAACCACATGAGGACCCTGGATTAGACGCCGAGGCAGTGAGGCCCTCCACCTCGGGGCAGAACATATCTGACAGCCACTGTGGTTCAGGGAGCGTGACACCCGGGACGGAAGGAAGGCTTCCAACACAGATACCAGGGGCCTCGCTCCACAAAGCAGCAAGCATGCATAAGGGAACGTGCATAAGGAATGGGGAGCGCTTCCAGGTGAAGATCGGGTACAATGCACAGCTCATCGCAGTCTTCAAGAGTCTGCCCAGCAGAAGATACGGTAATGAGTCTTTGGTCTTGTTCTTCCAATGTTTTTCTTCTAATTTTAGAGTCTCTTTCAATCTGACAGGTTCTCATAAATATGAAGAGAGCGCATTGGCACATTCTGTCTGTCCAGTTGTTAAAAATTATTGTTTTCGCTCATGTTTCCTTTTGTAATAGACATTCCTCCAAACAGCTGCCAAACTTGGGGGCTGCCACAGGGCCATATGGAGAATGGATGAATATTCCCTGAGAGGTCAGGTCCCCTGCCGGGTGCTTTATTTGTGCTGTAGCACTTCTAACAATGATTTTTTGTGCTAGGTAAATGTTATTTCCATTTTAAAGGCAATAGAACCGGCTTAGTAAGGCGAAGTAACATGCTGCCCTTGGTTCTTCTGGAAGGGTAGAGCCAGGATGTGGCTGGGCTTACAGCAGCTCAGAGAGCATGCTCCTCTCCATGCTCTGCCTGACCCTTCTGGGCCTCAGAGAACTTGGATTCTAGTCCCACCTCTGACCTTCTCCCTCTTCGGTGAGACCATAACGTCCCAGGTCCTGACCTGAGTTCCTCTCCAGAGAGTAGGAACCCTGTCCTCGCTTGTGTTTGCCTGTGGTTCTCCACAGGGATTTTGTACATCGCTGGGGGCCCTTCCTCACCTGATTTGAACTCAACACTCATTCATTCCTGAAGCAAGCTTTTACTGAATGTCTGGGTACAACTTGTAACGACAGTCATCAGCCTCCTTCTGTTTCCTTTCAGATCCTGCCACCAAGACGTGGAACTTCAGCATGACCGACTACAGGGCACTGAGTGAGTAGGCGTGTCATTGCCCAGCATGCAGGGAGAGACTGGTACTCAACAGCTCCCGGAGCCTCAGACGTGGTCCCGCTCATGGTTTACGTAGCATTTAGGACACTCCCACAGTACTCTTCTGCCTTCTTGCTAAGAACCAGTCTTCGGTGCAGGTCCCCATTTTAACAAAAGCTAGCGTTTAAAGGAGCTGCTATGTGCCAGGTTGTTCTAAGTTTCCTACACAGGCATACCTCGGAGGCTTTGCAGGTTTGGCTCAAGACCACTACAGTAAAGCAGATATCACGATGCAGTGACTGAGGTGAACTTTTGGTTTCCTAGTGCACGTAAAAGTTACATTTGCACCATGCTGTAGCCTGTTAAGTATGTAGTGGTGTGTCTGAAAACATGTAAAAAGCTTAATTAAAAAATACTTTCTTGCTGGGGCACCTGGGTGGCTCTGTCAGTTGAGCGTCTGACTCTTGATTTTGGCTCAGGTCATAATGTCACAGTTAGTGAGATCGAGTCCCATGTCAGGCTCTGCGCTGGCAGTGTGGAGTCTGTGTGGGATTCTCTCGCTCCCTCCCTCTCTTCCTTGGCTTGTGCGCTCGCGCTCTCTCTCTCTCGCTCTCTATCAAAATAAACTTTAAAAAAATACTTTATGGCTAAAAAATGGTAGTTATCACCTGAGCTTTCAGCAAGTTGTAATCACTGACCACAAATCCCTATGACAAATGTAATAATAATGAAAAAGTTTGAGATACAGCAAGAATTCCCAAAACATGACCAAGAGGGAGTGAGCAGATGGCTGTTGGAAAAATGGCGCCGACAGCTTTGCTCAATGCAGGGTCGCCACAAACCTTCAACTTCTAAAAACGGTATTTGCAAGGTACAGTAAAGCAAGGAGCAGTCAAACAAGGTATGCCTGTTTACGCCAAGTCTTCTGTTTCTCGTAACAGCCATTTCACAGATGTCTGGGAAAACAGAGACCCAGAGAGGATAAGGAACTAAAGTACAGTCACGCAGCCAATGAGCCGCACAGCTGGGATTCAGACCCACACAGTGTGACTTCAGAGCGCGTGTGGCCGCCAGAGCACTGGCTCCAGCCAGGACAGGCAGTGGGGTTGCTACCCCGAGAGGTGGCGTCCATCCTCACAGCACCGCACGCTGGTTAAGCAGAGAGCACAGGCCCCACTGGGCACCGCTAGCCCAGTGTGGCCAGTCGTCAGAGCCCCCAGGTGCCCCGCTCTGTCTTCTCAGATTGTACTGACTCTTAACACCAAGGGTTTCGTCACTTTGGTGCCTGGAGCCTATGTCTCTGCCAGCATGTTAACCCTGGGCATTCTGGTCTCCCATTTTCCTACTCTCTTTCCTCAGCCTTTCCTATGCCCCCTCTTCCCACCCAGCTCAAATAGGGAAAGGTAAGGCAGGTTGAGGTCACTTCTCTGCAGTTTGGGAGCCTGCGGTAGAATTGCCTGGAGCCACCAGTAGTTTCTGGGTGGGAGAGGTGATGAGACTGCCCCCTGCAGAATTTCCTGTGTCTCTTTAAATGTATGACATCAGGTGGTATCCCTTTGGTAGCTGCTGGTGACGTATTGGGGGGAGGACTGACTTTTACTGTTATATTAATCTGTGTGTTAGGTGTTGGGAGGGGGAGAGCCAGTACTCTGGGTTAAGATTGCAGGTTTCAACAGCTGGTTTTCTCATTTTTGCTCAATTTAGACCAGTGAGTTCGGCTGGGTTTTTTTGCTGTTTTTTCACTGCTGTGCCCACAATGCATGGTGACTTGGATGACTTCTGCTTTTGCAAATTCATTTCGGTTTTCTGTGTGATATGGTTGCTTCTTGTAATGCCCCACATCTTTTTTAAAAAACTGGTTATTGAGTGGCTCCTGGGTGGCCCAGCTGAATGAGCGTCTGGCTTCAGCTCAGATCATGATCTCGCAGTTCGTGGGTTTGGGCCCCACATCGGGCTCTGTGCTGACAGTGAGGAACCTGCTCCAGATTCTCTCTCTCCTTCTCTCTCTGTGCCCCTGTCCTGCTCGCTCTCTCGCTCTCTCTCAAAATAAATAAGTAAGCTTAAAAAAGAAACCGATGGGGGCGCCTGGGTGGCTTAGTCGGTTAAGTGTCCGACTTTTGCTTAGGTCATGATCTCGCGGTTCGTGGGTTCGAGCCCCGCGTCGGGCTCTGTGCTTGACTGCCAGCTCAGAGCCTGGAGCCTGTTTCAGAGTCTGTGACTCCCTCTCTCTCTGACCCTCCCCTGCTCACGCTGTCTCTCTCTCTCCTAGAAATAAATAAAAAACATTAAAAAAAAAAAAAGAAACTGATTATTGGGCACAAAATTCTCCATATTGCTTTTAGATGAATTTTACTGATTATGAATAACTTTGCTCCTCTGCCTCCTTACCAGTGTTTTGCACGATTGACCTGCTGTCTGCCTTGAACACTCGTGCAGTGACAGTGAACTTGTGTATTTATCATTGCTCTTTTTTCTCTTTGTTGAAGTACAGTCGACACACAATGTTAAGTTAGTTTCGGGTATACAGCATGGTGACTCAACAGCTCTGTGTTAGGCTGTGCTCAGCACAAGGGCAGCCACCATCTGTCCTTGCTCTTTATATTTCAGATAGGTTTCTGACGTGTCTTCATAGTAGCGTACGCTTTTTATCAGTGTCACGTGTAAAGACTATCAGTCCCGCTGCCAACTTGCTTTAGGCGCAAGTTTTGCCTTTATAACCCCTACCACATCCTGCATCGTATAGAAAGTATATCATCGTGCAGAGAAGAACAACTATTCCTCCATAGTCCCCCTACTCAATTAACCGCTATTAACATCTGATTCTGTTCCTTCCAGCCTTTTATCTGTGTTAAAACATATGCACTTTATATTTGTAATACAATTTTGTCTTTTTTTACTTAGCGTTCCAGCAGAAGTATTTTTATATTAATGGTGAACGTTAACCACTAATTCTGAGCCAGGAAGAGACAGGTGTCCATTACTGCACCACTGTGACCTCTTAGAAGATGGTTTCATACAGTTAAACTTAATATTGTTTTTTTGTATCTTTGTCTTTTCCAAAATTTCTTAGTAAAAACAGTTAATGGCTACATAACATTCCATGGCAAAATTTGTCACAAGTTGCTTAAATCATTTCCCTTTTATTTCATTTGTATCTGCTCTGGGTTTTTCCAGTGTTCAAGCTGTAAGCAGTACCTTTATCCATTAATGTCTGTGTTTTCAGTTGTCAGCTTGGATAGATTTCCTGGAAGTGGAAGCATGATGATCAGTGCTTAGGACTCTTGTTAGATAATGCCATATTGTTTTCCAAAAGGTTTTATTCCCAACTAGCAAGGCAGATATCTGGTTATTTGTTTTTTTACATTTATTCATTTTGAGAAAGAGAGAGAGAATCCTGAACAGTGCAGAGCCAGCTGCGGGGCTTGAACCCACAAAATGGGAGATCATGATCTGAGCTGAAATCAAGAGTCAGATGCTCAACTTTCTGAGCTACCCAGGTGCCCGTGTTTTTTTGTTTTTTTTAATCTTGCAAATTTGATGAATAAAAATGGGTTTTTATTTCTCTGATTATATGTGAACTCGAACATTTCTCCAGATGTTAGTCATCTCTCCCCTCTTTTGAGTTTGTTAGCGAGCTCTGCTCACATTTCTTGCAAAAATCTTTATTTGGTAGTTTTGCCTTGTAATTCCGTTTGGGTTTTTTTTGACAGTTTAGTTTTATATAGTCCAATCTGTTAATCTATAAAATGCATCTGTAACAGATAAAATAAGGCTCGAAACTGCATTTTTGGACTGATGGTTCTGTGTTTCTTTCTCTGGTCTTTCAAGCAGTAGCAGAGCAGTGACCTGGGGACTGGGTGAAAGGGGTGACTTCTGGGTGTTGACCTCAGTGGCTTTTGTAACACAGCCTCAGAAATTCTTAAATAAGTTCACACATCTTGTTGAGATCCCTCCTCCCCCTGTTCATTTCTGAGTTGTGCGTTGTTTAATTGGAACACTTAAGGAGCAGAAGTCACATTCAGTAATCCTGGAATTCCCAATGCCCCAGGGAAAGCATGCTTGCAGGCCTTCCTAATCTAACCATGCTTTGCTCTCCTCCCACCCTTGCCCGCCTCCTTTGCCTGCCTGAGCACCACAGGGCCCAGTGAAAGTCATCCACATTGTCACATATGTCCTTTTCTTCCACAGTGGAAGCAGCCCAGTGCCTCCCCTCCGTCACCCTGCAGCCTCTGGAAGAGACTGAGGACAGCATGGAGTCCCCCTCCGCTGGTGGTGTGGCCCAGACCCGCCTGCCCCCAGCTCCCTCCCTTGCCTTTGTCAAAGGGCAATGCACGCTCATCTCCCGGGCCCGCTTCGAGGCAGACATCAGCTACTCTGAACCTTTGATTGCACTGTTTAAGCAGATGGATTCCAAAAGTTACGGCAAGTACTTGGCTTCCATCTGATTCTCAGGATACACAATGGTCCGTGGTCTCAGAGCAGGTTATTTTTCTCTGTCTGAATAGTCAGAAATGATTTCTGTCCCTAGGAGAGCTTGAAAAACAGGCATATGCCATAAAAATAAATACCCTTGGGTAGACTGAGTCAGTGGTTGTCCCACTTGAACGTGCATCCAAGCCACCTCGAGGGCTTGGTGAAACAGATTGCCAGGCCTGGCTCCCAGAGTAAACACTGAGGCCCAATTCCCACCCAGAGACACTGATTTAATTGTTGCGAGGTGGGGCCTGCACATTGGTGTTTGTAAAAGTGTAATCATCAGCCAGAATCGAAAACTGCTGGCCAAAGCGAAGCACCTGTGCTTTATTTTTTGTGAGGCTCTTCAGAAGGTGCCCCATGAGAATAAGGGGCAGAAGTTAGTGTTAGAATTCTGAACTGCCGGGTTTCATTCTCAGCTTGGGCTTTTATGTAGCTGCTTGGGATCGATATTTCCCATCCTTGAAATGGTTTGAGTCTTTTCCTTAGGTGAGTAGAAAGCAAACCCTTGAACCCGCATGCCTTTGAGACCTCACGTTCAGGCAGTGTTATGGAGGAAGCCTCTATAGAATCACTTGCACAGTGAGCTTTCATCAGGATTGGGGGCTCCTTCAGGAGAAGGGCGATGCCTGCTATTACTGTTTTCTTCCTTGGATGGATTGAGTTTTTTTGTTTTTTTTTTTTTTTTTACAAATAGTTTATTGTCAAATTAGTTTCTACATAACACTCAGTGCTCATCCCCAAAGTGCCCTCCTCCATGCCCCTCCCCCCCTCCCCCCCACATCCATCAGTCCTCAGTTTTTGTCAGCATTCAAGAGTCTCTCATGGTTTGCCTCTCTCCCTTTCCCCCACCATTTCCGCCCTTCTTCTCCCCCTTGTTCCTCCGTCAAGTTCCTCCTAATCTTCCTATACGTGCAAACATATGATATTTGTCCTTCTCTGCCTGACTTATTTCGCTCAGCATAACACCCTCAAGGTCAGATGGATTGAGTTTTAACTCACAAGGGCAGCCTGCTGAGTTCCAGGATTTGGGTGAGCTGTGCCGGGGCCTGGCCTGAGTCATGAGACGAGCCACTCACACGAGGGCCAGGGTTCTTTGCCTCCCAGGCTCCCTTGGGTTTTCGACTTCAGTGTGGTGTAGCCCACCCTTAAGAGGCCGGTACAGAAGCCTTGTGTGTATTCCACAAAGTGTGGCCTTTGAAATCACACACCAAACAGATATGGTCTGCTATTCTGGAAATGTGAACAGCTAAAATACTGGCATTCAGTCCTGCCCACACTCAGACATCTAGAAACCACGATTGGATTTTTTGTTTGTTTATTTGTTTTGCCATAACTACTATTCACAGACTTTCCCATTTGCTGTTCTGCCGCTGTCAGCGTCAAGCTGTTGTCAGGAAGTGTCCTGTACTGTTCTCACCGCGGGAGTAGCCTGTCTGCCTTTGATCTGTCAGATTACACAGGGGGCCTCCTTGCTTTTTTTTCAGAAGCCTACTTACTATGTGTATGTGGCTTGTTCCCTAACCGCCTTGCTTTCTTGGTGGTCCTCCAGAGAAGAGTGCATGTTTGCTGTCCAGAGGCATTTATCTAGTTGAAGCGCCACGGTTTTCGCATAAGGTAGCTCAGTAGGGAAGCCTCTCTAAGAACTTAGGCAGCATTGGGTAGTGGGATGCTCACCCTTCTTGGTTAGTACGGTGTGTGGAGTGGGCTGCGCTCTACTGCAACAGATGGCGTCACGCCGATAGCGACAATACTAATGATTTATAGTTGCTCGCTTTCTTTTGAGTGCTTATTGTTTGCCAGGCACAGTTTCATAAGCATTCAAGGCCTAAATCTCATGTCATCCTCCTGGGAACGCTGTTACTCAGGCGCTGTAGTGTCCTCAGTTCTCAGGTGCGGGAACTGAGGCCCAGAGGAGTTACACGATTTGCCCAAGGTCACACAGCTAGGAAGCAGAAGAACTGGGATTTGAACGTAGGCCCCCTGAGCACTCTGAGCCTGATACCCAGCTTAGTGGGTTGTAAGGAGCATGGGAATCTCTTGGTTCTGTGCCGGGCTTAGAGTAAGCCCTGGTTAAGTGTGAGCTACCATTGTCATCCCCATCTTGGAGATTCAGGGCCTCTCTGACCTGCCAGGCCAGCCCCAGCCCCATGTCCCCATAGGAGTCTCTGTCTCCCCCTTAACAACACAGTATTGTTGCCACATCAGTTTGTCTTTCCCTCCTGAGTTCTGTGAGAGCCGCCAAGGCAGGTGTTCTCAATCCCTGTGTCCCCAGTGCCGGGCACAGGACCAGCCACGTCATCCTGGCTTTCTGGAGATTTGTGAAACCAGGGACTGAACGAGGAAGTGTCATAACGTAGAAGGAGGGCAGGCTGTCACGTTGTGTGTTTCTTGTCATTGCAGATGCCAAGACCAGGAAGTGGAACTTTCTCCTGGAAGAGCACAATAAACTAAGTGAGATGCCTTCCTTGCTTGTTTCATATCATGCTGCTGTTACGCTTTAATTATCTGCCTTAAATTGAATGTATTTTTAAAGAGCACCCCACCCCCTGCCTGTGGTAACTTCATCTGCTTGTACCCAGGATGTGTGAAAGTGAAGATGGGCCCAGGTGGCCACACCCCGTCTGCTGAGATGGTGGCTTTATGGTAGCCCAGGCAAATGCAGGGCCTCCATTTCCATCTGATGCAGCCAAGCAGTCAAGGTTCTGAGGCCCGTGCAACTTCCCACCCCTCATAGAAGTGTTAGGTGCGGACTTTGGCGATCAGACTGGAGTTGGGTTTGCTTAGCATAGATGGAGGCCACTGTAGATTTCCTCTAAGAAAGGCTCTTGGTTTACTAGGAGAACCAGATGATCATTGAAGGTCGGAGGGTCTAGGTGGCTATGGACTTTGTAACAGGCCTGGGCGCATAGCACTTAATAAGTCCTTGAAGACTGACTAAAGGAAGGGATATGTGTGCAGGTGTCCGTATAAGAGAGAGAACCCAGTTGGGGCTTACCATTTTTCTTCTCCGGGCTCTGCGTGGGTGGGGCAGTAAATTCTACTGTGCCTGAGAAAGGGGGCACGGGCATAGCCCAGCCTGTCCCAGAATGCCCATCTGTCACCCATCTTCCAAGCTGCACACTCCTGCAGTGGGCGTGTGGCAGGCGCCACTTAGGTTCCTCCTGCTTGGCCCCCTGAGGAGTTGGTGGGCCTCTGAGCCGGTGTTGGTCGCAGTCAGGCCAGGAGAGACATGAGCCAGTGGGGAGCTCTGAGTCATTGGGCATCTTGCCCCCCAGGCCAGGGCTTTCAGCAAGAGGGAGAAGCTGGGTTTCTTTCCTCCATCTCCTCCTCAGGTGACTTACTAGGTGACACTGGGTAGATAATCCAACATTCTGGGTCCCCTCTGCCCTTTCAGTGAAAAAAGGGCTCTTCACTGTTTCTATCCTACTGACAGAAATTAAATAGAAGTGTTTCTGATTCCTTGTGGAAGGACTTGCAGCAGGCCCAAGGTTAAGTGTGACTTATGACGGGCCCCTTATTTGGCACCAGCAAACCCTAGCTGAGAAGTGAGCATGAGCGACGTTGAGCTGAGGCCCCGAGGCTGCTGTGATCTGGAATTTGTGGTTCAGAGTGAACTGTTGGGCCAAAGCTGGATTTTTGATGAGCGGTAGGAGTGAGGGTTTCCCTCTTGCCCCTTTGGTTTTCACCCACAGAAAGGCATATCATTATATTAGCTGGAAAGGCTTTGGTTTTTATGGACCAACACAAAGCAGGACATGTACGGTTAGCCGAGGAATGTAATGAAAAACCATGTCTCACGACTCCTATAACGTTACGTAATGGTGCCAAATCCTGTGTGGGCTGTAGACTCTTAAATACCTGAGGAAAACGATGGATTCTTCAACCAGAAAAATGCACATAGCGGCCACACATGAAATTTTGCATTTGATGTTAACAATCACACAGATCATAAGAATTCTAGTGTCAGCACTCAGATTGGTGCTTTATGTGCCATCTTGTCGTGACAGCAACTGGTGGAAGGTAAGACGGATTCTACACATTTCATAGATGGACCCAGAAAAAGGAGGAAGCAGTCGTTTTCCTAACTGACAGCATTGTAGGCTTACAATTATGCCAGTGACGGAAATCAGACCAGGCTGGTGATCTCAAGGTTGTAGCGTGACCCATTTGGGAATGTGGATGCCAGCCCGTGAACAAGAAGCTGAGGAGGCAAGGCTCTGCAGAATACCCCAGGTTAGCTCTGGTTTTGTTAACAGACTGCAAACCTGGGGCCTCCGCGCCTCTCCTCTGCCCCCAGCCCTCCTTCCTTGTGTGTGAAGTTAGATTCCTGATCCTGACCTACTGAGCGTGTGCATATGAAAGTCATTAAGAAATGGCAGTGAGACCTTCTGAATGCACAAATGCTTCTTGATGACATGCTGACAATCATTTTCTCCAGATGAGGTGAATCTAAGAGCTTTCCTTCTCCCTCTTTTCCAAGTGACTTGAGGCCTTTTGCCCACAGTGAAATTGGCATAAGGCCTTTTGTTTTCCCCCGGCTGTCACAGTCCAGAAGGGTTCTGCATCCCCCTCACCAATCCTGTCTTGTCGGCTGCTATTTGAAAACATTAACATCTCTCTGCTGTGTGGCTCAGTAGCATTCTGCCGAAGAGCGATTTTACAGAAGCGATTTCTAGATGACTCATGAAGCCAGACAGCACATTCCTGTCATCTTCTAGCACCTGGAAAGGACATGAGTGAATTGGGGGACTTTCTCAGAAACATACCCACTTGGCTGAACTGGCAGCATAGGATCGTGGGGGCAGTAGCTGGGGGGAGACAGAGCGGAGGTTGCTTTTTCCTCCTGAACGGCTGGAAGAACATTATGCTTACAAAGCACATTTCACACCGGCCGGATCGTCAGCCCTTTCGTAGCTTTCATCAGGTATTTGCATGCTGGCAATCACCAGGGTTAGAATAAAAATGGTTTCTGAAAGCACATGGAGTGCTCAGTCTCCTGAAGTGTGCACGAATCAGCATGTGCAGATTTAATTTGGAGGCATAAAATGTATTTCTCCATCAGTATGGGACGTCTCTTTTATATTAAAGCTGTCAACCTTACCTAATTTCTTATCATGGTGATTGTGTTCACACAAACTGTTTCCAGAAATAACTGGTATGTACATTTAGTGAGAAATGGAAATGGATTTAAATACGTTGAGGATACAAAGCCATTGAAGGTAGCAGTAGATGGCTCGGTCCTCCATATTGAGATCAATATTTGCAATGGTGGCCATTTGATGGTGTGGCAAAAGACGTGGATATTAAGGAAAGACGTGGCCATGTGGCATATGAACCAACAACCTTAGAATTTCAAGTACTATTGGGTAGAAATGAATTATACCCAGTTTCTTATTTGGTTCCCTTTACCAGGTTTCTGAAGACAATTAGCCCCTTGATGGGTTACTGTGATTCCCAGGGTACCCGTGAGAAGGTAAAGGATAAAGAACAACATAAGATCTGCAAACAGGAGTTACTCTCCCAATTAGCTTTTACAAAAGACAGTGATAAAAGAGAAGGACGTCTCAAAAGCTAACTCCCCTAGGACAGCAGGCTGCGATTAGCAGATTGATGATAATTCTACCACCAGCGACTAGATCTATCATCCTTGGTTTTTAACTTGTCTCTCTCCCACCCTCAGAATTATCTGTTTTGTTTGTATCCCTGGTTTATTCTTTTTCAGTTTCTCTATTAAATAAAAGAGCTTTTTCCCCCCTTCTTAATTTTAAAATCAGGTGAGGCTAAATTCTTTCAAAAAGCAAAACCATTGAAATTAATTTCCTTTCATATCATGTAGATCCCACGTGGATTTTTTGCACATGGGGTGATGGCTCTGATTGGAAGGAGAGATCTCCCCGTCTGTTATATAGGGGTCTGGAACCAGCACACCTAGAAGGAAAAGTAAAGACCCCTAAATACATGTTTTAATGGAAAGAATCAGAGTAATGGTCACTCTTAGGAACAGTTTAGACTCTGAGCTTAGCAGGGGGTTGGTAAACTTTTTCTGTGAAGGGCCAGATAGTAAGTATTTTAGGATTTGGGGGCCACGTGGTCACCCATCTTCTCAGTTCTGCCATCGTGACAAGCAGGCAGCCATGCTAGTCATCAGACAAGGTGGCACGGCTGTGTTCCAGTCTCACTTTATCTACAAAAGCAGACGGTAGGCTGGTTTGGCCCACAGGTCTAAGCTTGCCAGCCTGCATTAGAGGAGAGGCAGGGTGCTCTTGGTCACCTCCAGACCAAGGGACTTATCAGCTGCTTCACCATTGACATCACTGCTGTAAAACTCCCCTCTCTCCAGCGGAGGTCGGTATTCTTTCTTACAGAAAGAGTCACAAGTGTGCAGGGCCATTTGTGTTTTTATAAGTTGGTGGACTCAGCGTGAACTCTGCCCCTTGTCATTGCTATTGTTGTTGTTTATAAATAGCCCTCCTGTCCTGATCTTTTTTAGAAATCCCTAACAGCTTCCCTGTGCAGAACACAGTGCTTCCTTGCCTATCAACAGCAGGTAACTTAGAGTTCTCAATTTCTCAAACGTCAAAACCCAAATAAAACATGAAGAGGGGCGCCCGGGTGGCTCAGTCGATTAGGCATCCAATTCTTGGTTTCGGCTCAGGTCATGATCTCACAGTTCATGAGTTTGAGCCCCGAGTCAGACTCTGCCCTGACAGAGCAGAGGCTGCTTGGGATTCTCTCTTTCTCTCTCTCTCTCTCTCTCTCTCTCTCTCTCTTTCTCTCTCTCCCCATCATTTGCTCTCACACTTTCTCTCTATAGATATATAAACTTTAAGAAAACCATGAAGATAATAGAAATGACAAGATTTATTCATTCTACATCTTGCTTTTTCATCAGTCTTTCTGGGCTTGATTTTTAAGAATGTGGGTCCTTATTTATTTGAGTGGGAATACTCAGAATTGCTTTAAATTACTTTAGGTTAAAAAAAAAAGAGTCAGCCACAGAAACATTTGCAATTCTTCCGAGTGTCCTTGTAGTATAGAAAATCAATTTGGCATTAGTGGCTGCCCTCATATTTGCAGAAACTAAGGAACAGAGAGGGCAAACCAGTTCTCCAGGCTCATGGACTTGCTCAGGGTGTGACACGTCAGCCCTCGGTTTTGTCTCCAGTTAGAGAAGACAGCATGCGTCAGAATTCCAGCCACTGAGCTCTGTATTTTGAAGCCCGCTCCCTGTCCTTCGCTCTCGCAGGTGTTAGCCCTTCAGTTGACACCCCCCTGTGCTCCTTTCTAGTTGCACATGTGCGCCAGCTTCCCGAAGTTCAGCTGGATCCTCTGCCCAAGACGCTCACCCTGGCGTTTGCTTCACAGCTGGAGAAGACGTCTCCCTGTGTCCCACAAGCCATCCCCGAGGCAGACCTTTCTGGAGTGGACCCCAAGCTCGTGTCCAGTCTGCTGCCCTTCCAGAGAGCAGGAGTCAAGTAGGTTCTTGGTCTTCCTCTTGCTTGGACTCCATCACTCGATACAAACTAGGTTCAGACGCTCCTTCTTTTAGGAACGCTCATCTTCCATGGACATCTAGAAGCAGCTAGGCAATAAACAGCCAGGTGTGCTGTCAGCAAAGCCTGATTATAACCATTGATTGCATATTCTATGAGTTAATCAGGACTCTGGATCGCAGGTGTGCAGACACCCAACAAGGAAAGAGATTTCTCAGTGCGCGTAGTAGAAAACCGAAGGTCTCCAAAGATCTCATCAGGACTCCCTGTCTCACTCTGGCTTGGCTTTCTCCTCAGTTTGCTTTGTTCTCGGCCAGGTGCTCCTCAGGTGTGGCGGTCGGGGGCTGCCTCGCGCTTCTGGCCTGCACCCGTCAGCTCAGTAACCCAGTGGAAGCACCTCTTCCCCGGTGGGCCTGACACTGAAGGGCCTGAAACGTGCTGATGCCAGGACCAGTTGCTGTGTCCTGGGGGCTGGGGAGTCTTGTTGGTGAGAATGGATGACAGACCCAGCCCATCCCTGGAGCCATGAGGAGGGTCTGCCCCACCCCAGTTACTTGGACCAAGTAGAAGGTGGTGGTTTTCCAAAAGAAAGGGTGCTCTAGTATAGGGAGAAAAAAAGATAAGCCCGCATCATGACTTGCCCTGTGTTCCAGAGCTGCTTGGGAAGAACCGAGTGACAGGTTTGAACTTTCCTTCTAGTGAGAAGACCAGAGGTCATGGAGAGGAAAAAGGCAGTCCTGATGGCTGTCCAGAGACAGTAGAGGCTACATCTGTCTTCCGGTGGTGTGGTTGGGGGTATGGCCCCGTGCAGGGGAAGAATAGATGATCATGGGACTGGCAAACAGCCTGTCCACCTGCCCTGCGGCCTGCTCTTTAGGTGTTGGTAAAAGCTTGGCCACGTCTCTGACGGGATTTTGTTCTGTGATCTGGGCGCGGTCCCACCTCGCTGCATTCCCGCAGTCCCAGCTCTGCTCACGCCTTTTCCCTCATTTTCCCCTCTGTTACCAGTAACATGCTCTGCACAGCTCCATCTTGCTTGAGCGTGGGCCCACCCCTACCCCTGGGCGGCATCTGTCTCCAGCATCCCAGTTCTTCTTGGCTCCGTTAGAGATCCGGGGCCCACGTGGCACCTGCCGGCCGGGCCACTAAACCGTCACCGCCAAGGGCCTCTGTGTAGACGCGCCTGAACCAGAGCCTGGCCGGCAGCTTTCATCCTTTTCACTGTGGCTCCGAAAGTGCCAATGGCACATGTAGCCTTTCTTCAGAACTCCCCAGTTAAACTGAGGTTTTAACTTTCATTCTCTGAAGAGAAGGAGTTTGGGTTGAGGGAAAAGGGCTGTCGGTTCTGAGTTATTTTGTGAGAACTGCAGTGAAAATGCCCTTAAATGTATGGAGCAAAATCTCCTAGATACCTTTCAGCTTCCTCTAATATCTTAATGGTCCCTTTTAACAGATGAGGGAGTCGAGACCCAGCAAGTCATCTGCCAGAGGCCACTCAGCTTCCGAGAGTGGGCTTGGAGCTGACACGCAAGTGTTGTGATCCATGTGTGCAGCGTATTTTCCATTAGACCGCGGTTCTCTCATGGCCGCGGCACAAGGCCATGTGCGGTTTGTTGCTCAGATGCCCCTGTCCACCCTGGCCATCTGTGTGTCAAGTTGATCCTGGAAACAGTCTAGAAGATTTCTCTGAGGCCAGTGTGCCAAGGAGAGGCTGGGTCTGTTGGACAAGCTCAGTGACAGTGTGCCGGGCCCCCTTCCTTCTCACTTAAGGCGAGTGGTGGTCATAGCCTGGGGGGCAGGAGGGGATGTGTGCCCCTCAGCTGGGCCACTGTGGCCTCTGGGAGATGAGGACGGTGCCGTGACATGCCACGGGCAGTCCGCCCAGCTCACTCCCTGCAGATGCGCTGCTCACCTCTCCGCCTCTGCTGAACGCTGGCTTCCCAAAGGCAGAAACGCTATTTTCCAGCAACTCGAAAGGCCCATTGGCAGCCGTACCTACTGCTGCCCACAGGGGCTGCGCCCAGTCTTGGTGGTGTGAGAAGGAAAGAAAAAGGCTAGTTGACAGGCTTTTCATCAGGTTTCTGAGCAAATGATCAGTTTTCCAGGAATTCACAGGAAAAGGGCTGCTGTTTGGAGCAGGAGAACAGACATCTGGCACTTGGGATCCGTTTCGCTTTTCACTGATTCATCTTGTGAGTCAAGCAAGTCATTTTTCTTCTGTTCATCTTGATTATTTTTCCTTTTTTGTGGAATAGCAGTTACAAGAGAAGCACTTCCTCAGCACTTCGGATGGATGGTGCCACGCACTGTTTTAAGTGCTTTAGACATTAGCTCTGTTGAAGCCTGACAGCGGTCCCTGGGGCGGGTCCTTTCATGCCCGTCTTACGGCTGAGGCGTGAGGAGATTGGATAAGTGGCGTGAGGGTCCCCAGCTGCAAAGCGGTGGAACTGGGGTACCCCCCAGGCCAGTTGGCCCCAGGAGACTGGAATGCACCCTGGTGCACACAGGGTCAGCTGAGGCTGTCACACGGGTGGGCAGAGGGGCCCGGCGGCTGCTGGTGGGCACGCTGCTGAGACTGCTGCTCCAGTAGATGCTCCGGTACCACCCTCCCCGAGGCCTGTGCTCCTCTCCTCCAGTGCCCTGTATCTGCCGGCTCCTTCCCTTTACCCCTGTGCATAAACATCCTCTCTGACCTTGAGAAAGCCTAATTTCGATGCCATCATTTCTTCCTTCTTTCTTTCCCTTCCCTTTCCCTAGGCAGACCTCTCACAGGAACGAGGGCGCCCCTCCTGGCCTCTCTTTAGGGGCTGGTTCCCAGGATCCCCCTGTCCATGCCCCCAGGGCTCACCTACACTGTGTTGAGGGGCCCCCTGCCCTGGAAATTTTCTCCCTTGGCTTCCATGATGCGCTTATCATCTAGACCCCCCTCCCTACCTTTTGCCGCCATTTCACATTTTCCCTATTTTGACTCTTCAGTGTTACTGTTACTATGATCATGCTGTCCCCTGATTGACTCCCGCCTTCCCTGGCAGGTCTCTAGTGAACAGGGCCCTGTTCCCTCGGGCAATGGCCCACACCGGCAGTGCATGTCTCGTTATGTGGTTAGCTGATGCCCCCGACAAACATGCCACACCACTGTCCTTCCCTTGTCTGCTTTCAGTTTTGCCATCGCGAAAAGAGGCCGCCTGCTGCTCGCTGACGACATGGGCCTGGGGAAGACCATCCAAGCCATCTGCATCGCGGCCTTTTACCAGAAGGAGTGGCCGCTCCTAGTGGTGGTGCCGTCCTCTGTGCGCTTCACGTGGGAGCAGGTCAGTTCCCTTTGTGTTGTGATTCTAACAAGGAAGTGTCCCTGGTGGTAAAGCAACCAAGTAACGGTTTGGGGACAGGGCCTGGGAGCTTTAAAGATCCAGGCTCAGCGAAAGAGGAAGGGAGAGGAGATGGCCTTCTGAGGCCAGGCTTATGATTTTCTGAATTAGAATCAGGTTATTTTGGAAGAAAGCCAAGGAGGTGTGAGCTCAGACATAGACGCGTTGCCTCAGCCTGGCAGCAGACACTTCCCAAGTCCGTCTTGTGCCCCCTCTGGTAACACCTTTCACCTGCACCAGCCTTACATTCAAAATAGTTACCTCCTAATCCCGAGGCAGCCGTGTGCAGTGGATGCAGTAGTTGTTAACCCCAGATGACAAAACAGTCTCAGTGAGGTGAAGCAGCGTGCTCACTGATGAAGGGGAGCGTTATAGGACCTTGAAGGTGTGTCTCCTGAAGTCAGGGTGTTTGCACCCTGCCGTGGGTGGTGTGGGCAGGATGTACACTGTCAGCCAGGTGCCATTAGAGCCGAAGAAGCCGACAGGAACATCATATTGTTGTTCAGCCATGAGCTTGTCTTCCACAAATCTAGAGATCCGAGTGGCTCCAGGGAAGGAATAAACACCCAGATAAGCAAACCTGGTGGAGGAGGAGCTAATTCATCATCAGTAGCGTTTCCCAGCTCCCTGCTACTCGTGGCAGCTGTCAGCTTCCTTGCATGCCAGCTTCTGACTCAGCAACCCCCACCCCCCCCACTGTGAGCCACTTTGTGGAAAAGAGGCGACTCTGCCTACAGCCACTCAGCCTGAGGCACAGATGCATCCTTCCAACTGAAGAAAAACCAAAACTTTAAAAATGTGCATCGATACAATATCTTATTTTGCGCACACACCTGTCCTCGTGACCTGAATTCTGCCACCGCCTCTAGAAACTATCAATTCACTATATGTTTATTCGGCGCGTGTTAGATTCCCACAGTACCCCCAGAAATGCTGCAAGAATCAGGTGGTCACTTGGTTGTGAACAGAACCACAAGTGGGGAAAGGGCCAGCGCTCGACATCACAATAGTGTCAGCCCAGGATGCTGGGGGGCTCCCAGACACCAGCCGCTGACACGGAGGCTCCTGGGGGCCTCCCATCAGTTCCAGCCAGGGACTTTGGCTAGAGGTGGGAAGATTTCTGGAGAGAGCAGGTGATAAGTATTTTTGTCGTTATCGGTGCCTTTGGTATATACCAGCATCTGCTAAAACTTCCTTTTATGAAGTTCCTCGTAGAAAGAGTCACATTCCTTCCCTGCAGAAACTTGCCGTTTAGTTAGAGACTGGAGGGATGAAATCCGCAGACAGCACAGTGACTGCGAACGATGCTTGCATACAAAGGAAGGCAGTGTCCCATTAGTGGAATGTGAAGGGGTGGACGGGCAAGAGGGCAGCGGAGGTGATTGCTGTTCATGGGCCCAAGGGCACCAGCAATTGCAGACAGGTATGGAGAGAAAGGCTCTGAGCTCGTCTCTCGGGGAGCAGTAGCATTGTTCACTGAGGGGGTGCCCTTGATGGGCCGGCTGGGCCACCCAGGCTCTGTTCTCTCCTCTCATCTCCAGGCCTTCCTCCGGTGGCTGCCGTCTCTGAGCTCAGACTGCATCAATGTCGTGGTAACCGGCAAGGACCGCCTGACGGCTGGCTTGGTCAACATTGTCAGCTTTGACCTTCTGAGCAAGTTGGAAAAACAGCTAAAAACCCCTTTTAAAGTTGTCATCATTGTAAGTGACTTGGCAAAGACTTTCAGTACTTTATCTCTGGGGAAACTTTCTCTTAAAAGCTCCAAGAACTTTGATGCCTGTGCTCTCTGGGAGCCTCCCTCTGTTTCTAAGAGAATAGAAATCACTGTCTTTATTTTGTGGGACACTGATATTTTATTCATCTCGAATAGCAGTCCTCAACCCTAGCTATGTATTAGAACCTCCCGGGGCGCTCTTTGAAAAGTGTCATTTACTAGGCCTGAGCTGGGGGTTTGCAGCCCATCTCTCTGACAAGAGGTCATGGACTGGGACCGCTGGTGTGGACGACAAGGGTGTGTGCCTTCATGTGGCGCCCTCTTGTCCACGTGGCTCAGGCATACAGTCCAAACAGTTAATAAGGTTGTTTCCAGCCAGTGTAAAGACACTCCCTCCCCCACCTCAAAAAGTACAGCTGACCCTTGAACCACATGGGTTTGAATGTGTGGACCCACTTACAGCCACATTTTTTTATTTATAAATACAGTCCAGTACTGTAAACATGCTTTCTCTTCCTTATGATTTTCTTAATACTGTTTCCCTGGGTTACTTTGTTGTGAGAATACATCATATACTCCTGTAACATACAAAGTACGTGCTAATTGTACATGTTATCAGTAAGGCTTCTGGATGAGTAACGGTTTGGGGGAGTCCAAAGTAAACACTGACTTTTGACTTATGAGGTGGGGGTGGTGGTTAGTGCCCCTAATCCCTGTATCGCTCAAGGGCCACCTGTACTTTTCCGTCAGGTTTGTTGTTGTTGTTTTATTCACGTGCTGCTCACAGATATGACAGCACATCTTTCAGTCACTGGCTTTCCTTGTTTACGCCCCTCATGTGCTCACAAAGATTATGAAGAGGTGTGCCATCCCCATCCGCCATCCAGGTAACCACTTGCAGCCGTTGCGGGCCGAAGACTGCAGTGGATGATTTTCAGTCATCGCAGTAAAACAGGGACGCCCAGTACCTCCGATTGATAGGAAAGGTTCTTTATTCACATGTGTGAATGGTCAAAGCCTGTGGTATTTTCCTTCTCTTAAACATAGAATTCTCTGACAGTGGCTTCCCAAATCTTGATGCTCAAAATGCGTAGTGCCTACCTCATCTAGCAGGAGAGAAAGGAACGAGTTTTTAGGATGCCCAGAAAAGCCAGCAGGATCGCAGCAGAGCCTCCGGGTTTCTCGGCACGGGGCTGGCTGTCGTGGGAGGCTCGTTCATCCACGTGTTTAGCCCAGAGCCGAGTGCCATCTCCACACCCTGCTCGGTGCTGTGAGCTCAGGGTGTGGAGGGAGGAAAGGCAGCCCTGTTCTCCAAGATACCAGTCCAGTGGGACAGACAGACGCATGCACAGATCATTAGAGTACATTTTAGTGCTTCCATAGATGTGGGAGCCAAGTATTGTGGGAGCTCAGAGAAGGGAAGAAGAAGGCATAGTTGCTGACCTTAGGGATCTATTATCATGATTTGGACATGAGAACCGTACTTTGTTCTTAGCCTAAGCAAACTTAAATGGTTATATCTTTTTTTAAAGTTTATTTATTTATTTTGAGAGAGAGAGAGAGAGACAGTGTGTGAGCAGGGGAGGAGCAGACAGAGAGGAGGAGAGAGAATCCCAAGCAGGCTTCACGCTGCCAGCACAGAGCCTGACGTGGGGCTCCATCTCACAAACTGTGAGATCATGACCAGAGTAGAAATCAAGCGTTGGATGCTTAACCCACTGAACCCCCCAGGTGCTCCAAATGTTTATATCTTTCCACAGCTGTAAGGGCAATGAGGGAGTCATTTCTGATTTGGTACAAATTCAGGTGTGGCTTTGAAAAAAATGGTAGCATCCCTGTAAAATGAAAACATTAAAAAAGTATCCCAAGATGATGGTGATGTTTCTACAACATGTAGGAAGAATAATGCCTTCATTTCTTGAGTGTTACCCTGTGTCATGTACTTTATACGTAACCACCAATCTTCCCGGTGCCCCCTAAGGCAGACACTGTCTCCATTTCACCACTAATGGAACTGACAGTGAGAGCGGTTACATGATTTGCCCACAGGCATGAAGCCAGCAAGATGGGGCGTCACTGATCAAAGCTGGACTGAGTCTGGCTTTAGAATTCATGTGTTTCTGTTTCTGGCTCAACACTTAGCCTGCCATATGATTTCTGGCAAGCCTCCTGCCAGCAGTGTTGGTTTGTGTTTAGTTATTTAAAAGCCCAGTCTTCTGATTTCAGAGAAACGTTATAAGAAGGAATAAAGTGTCAGCTCTAAGATGTCACACTTCTTAGAAGAGAGTTCAGATAGAAGCCATTCCTGGTGGTTAGAGTAGTGGAACACGTTAGCGCACTGGCTTAAAGGGTCTCTTCCTTCCCTGTCCTCTGTACTTGCTGCTGTTTCTCTCTATGAACCCCTTTCCTTGGCCATCACGTGCATGCATCCTCCAACAGTACGGATATGATAGCCTGGCTTTCTAGGAACAGATCCCATGACCTTTGTGAGTTCACCTCACTACACTCCCCTCCCTTCTGCTTTGAGGTCCATTTCGGTTCACCATAGCTGCAGTGGAGCAGGAGGTTTCTCACACATCCCCTCTAGAGGTAGAGCCAAGGCCCCTCCAGTGTCCCCGTCACAGTGCGGCTGACACTTGCTAGGTTAGCTGGGAAGGCTCTTGGGATTTTACATGTGTCGGCCCAGTAAGACATGCAGCAACCTGGTGCGTCAGGTAGTGGTATTTTACCCATTTTATCGACAGAGAAACTGTAGAGAGGTCTGTTAGTTGCTCAGGTACAAAGCAAGTGATGTGCATATGTACCCAGATAGAAACTTCCCCTCAAAATACTAAGAATGTTTTAGTTACAAATTTGGCTTTAGAAAATATGACCAGGATGCCTGGCTGGCTCAGTTGGTAAGAGCGTGCCGCTCTTGGTCGGTTGTGGGCTCGAGCCTCATGTTGGATATAGAGATTACTTAAAAGTAAAATCTTTAGGGGCTCCTGGGTGGCTCAGTCGGTTGAGTGTTCGACTTCAGCTCAGGTCACCGTTCGTGGGTTCGAGCCCCACATTGGGCTCTGTGCTGACAGCTCAGAACCTGGAGCCTGCTTTGGATTCTGTGTCTCCCTCTCTCTGTGCCCCTCCCCCACTTGTACTCTGTCTCTCTCAAAAATAAATAAACATTAAAACATATAATGAAATAAAATAAAATCTTTAAAAAAAAGGAAAATATGACATATTCTAGTTTGCTTGCACCTAGAACGCAGAGCTAGAGATACTCAAACTCCACATTGTAAGCTTGACGGCCCCTTGAGCACAGGAATCGGGTGTTCTTCCCCTCCAAGTTACCACAATGATGTGTCACGCTCCCTCAGTGGTGGCACTTACAGCTTGTCTGATTGGCTATGGTGTGGCTGCCCCCCTTCCTGTCCAGTGAGCCCCGGGGGCAGGTGCTGGGCCCTAGCACCTCATGCTAGGACAGGGCACACAGTGGGCTCACCCTGCCTCGGCGCCAAGCACACCTGAGGGAAGCCACCTTCTGACACTTTGCTCAGCTCACCCCTCACAGTGGGCCGGGCAGGGGAGTCACTACCCCCACTTTATAGTCGGAACACTGTAAAGCGACTTGCTTGGAAAAACACTGGGAAGCCGCACCAGAACCTGGATCCTACCTGGGCCCACAGCTGTCTCCCTGAACAGGAAGCCGCCAAGGGAGGTGTCCTCAGTGCAGCACCATGCCAGGTCAAGCTTAACGTGAGCTCTGTCTCCATTCGCTCAGGATGTGGCTGTTTCTTTGCAGGATGAGTCTCACTTCCTCAAGAACTTGAAGACAGCCCGCTGTCGTGCAGCTATGCCCATCCTCAAGGTGAGTCCTGCTGAGAACAGACTTGGAGCTGGAGCCCACCCAGCACTGAGGTCCCGCTGCATCTTGCTCAGGCTGGTAGGGGTTCCAAGGAGAGCAGAGGCTATAAGTCCCGGGCCAGGTACTGTGGGCCACAGACATGACTTAGCATTGACCGAGGCTGTCCCTGTGTAGGGCGTCAGTGCCAGACTCGTTCTTCCTGACGTCCTACTAAGGAACTGGCGGCTGGGCAGTCACCTCTGTCTCTCAAAGATGAAGGCCTGTTGAAGGTCATGGGCTGGATGGGGACTCCGTCTTAGGTCCTCCTCAGGCTCTCGGACAAAGCAGAGGGGAGCTGCCAGCATCATGTCCTCTGAACAGCTCAGGAGAAGCTGCCTGTCTTCTAAGTCACTTGTGGGAGCCCAGCTCTCATGGTGTTAGGAACCAAGTCGTACAGGCTTGGAACCGGGCCATCAGGGGTCAGTAGGAGGCACCGGCGAAGCTGAGTTGTGGCCCGTAAGCTGGCGCCCTTTCCCGGGCTCGCCCTAAGCCTTTTTCGCTAGCGAGGGGAACAGCCATGCATACCTCCTTCTGTGGTGGTCGAAACAGGGGCATGAGGGTTTTGGTTGGTTGAGCCTTGGCTTCAGAGCAGGCAGGGGTGTGGATATAGCGGCACTTCAGATCTTTATCTAGAAGTATTCTGTTCCAACATGGAGCATGAGTTCCACATTTGGCCTGGCACACGCTCCCGTGGCTGTGGTTTGTGTCCCGGCTCTCTCCACCCCAGACAGTGGGGAGGCCCCCAAATTTCCTTCCTTCTTTTTGTGGGGCGCTCTTCTTACTGTTGGGGAACAATACTACCATTAGGAAAGTAGCTTTTTCTCTCCTCAGCAGGTAGAAATCTCCCACAGATGACTTAGGGAGAATCTGCTTTGGTATATGTAGACTGAGCAAACCAAAGTACATGTTTGCCTTGTGCATTATTAAAACAGCCTTGGTGTTATGCTGGCACTTTAAACCTGCCACTTTCATTGCTTTAAAGAAGCTTTAGGTTTACCTAAATGAGGGAAAACAAATATGCTAAGTGTTGGGGGAGCTTTTTAACATTTGAAAATTCACTTAATTTTGTCAACTCCCCCTGACGAACAGCCGTCTCCTCATTTCAGGTTTTGTTTTGCTTTCTTTTGTTTTAGGAATAACAAGTAATATGATACATCTTCCAAAGCAGGATTATGTCATATCCTCCAAACTTGAAATAAAAGTCCTTTACTTAAAAAGCCTTGATCCTCTGCTCATGTTACCTCTAAATATTTATGGATACACTTAAATGAAATGTGTTTCCCAGAGTGGTGATCCTGCTTTTGGGAGGCTTCAATATGTTCTCTTTTGAAGAATATTAACAGATCTTCATACTGTGGTTCCAGTATTATAGCCATACCTAAAATTAATTGTGTACCTTGGTTGTTTAGGTGAAATAAAAGGCACAGTAAACAGGGTAGATCATTAAAGGTGTAGTAGGGGAGGCTCTGAGCAGCCATGTTGTCAATGTGGTCATTGCCCGGCAAGGTAATGCATCCTTGTTGCCGAAACATGTGCTTCTGAGCCAGACCTTTTAAAGCAGCATTTCTATCTTTAATATCATGGGTAGATTTCAAATTGATATATTTAAGACAAATCTTTTAGCAGTTGACTAGCATAGAGTACTCTGCACTTGCTGTAGAACTGGGATGCGTTAGCACTTTAAGACAGGACCCACAAACAATAGCTTGCTGTTTATGTAGGTGTCCTGAAGCCACTCTCGTACATAAGGCTGAGTTCACAGTGTTCTAGACTGTTGACCGGACTGAGTGGAGGAGGTGGGGCCGAGGCATTCTGCTTCACACCTTTTATCTCTCCGCCGTGTTTTTGTCTAGATCAGTTTCTCAGCCTTGGCACCACTGATCCTGTGGCCTGTACCGTTCCGTGCTGTGCAGGGCTGTTCTGTGTGCTGTAGGAAGCTTAGCTCCATCCCTGGCCTCTAGCCATTGATTGTCAGTAGTACCCCCCCCACCCCCCGTGATGACAACCAAATTTGTCTCCAGATATTGCCAAGCATGCTCTGGGGGACAAATCACTGCTCCCCATCTCTGTTGAGAACCACTGATGTAGGCACTCCAAAGAGATGAATCTAAATACTTTTGGAACAAGAGGAGAATTGGGAGAAGTAAAATATGCCCTTGAAAAGCCATGCAAGGGCCTAATTTGGTACCACCTGATTGTTCCTCTAACTGGTGCATCTCCTAGAACTAATTCTGATGATTAATATTTCAAGACATGTTCAGCAAATGTGCATGATTAGGTTATATCATGCACTCCATGAGTCGGCCTGGCCAGATCACGTCCTGGAAGTGCAGGCTTCGGAAATGGTGACGGCAGGCACACACAGGGCACGTGTGGTTGAGGTTGTAGGAAACTGGAGTCATTGTCCCCTAGAAAGTGTGACATCTTTCTTTTATAGCACTGTTTGTTTAGGCTACTAAAGAAAGGTAGTTCTGTTTTTATGTATCCATGTGTGAAAGTAGGCAAGACAGGAAGCTATGAAGAACAAAATTCAGATCCCCTTTATGGCTTCCATCAGAGAAGACCTCCAGTAACAGCTTGGTTATTTTTCTTTTTCTTTTTCTTTTATTTATTTATTTATTTATTTATTTATTTTTAAATTTATTTCTAGGAGAGAGAGAGAGAGAGAGACAGCGTGAGCAGGGGAGGGTCAGAGAGAGAGGGAGATACAGAGTCTGAAATAGTCTCCAGGCTCTGAGCTGGCAGTCAGCACAGAGCCCAACGCGGGGCTCGAACCCACGAACCGTGAGATCATGACCTAAGCGAAAGTAGGACGCTTAACCGACTAAGCCACCCAGGTGCCCCACTTGGTTATTTTTCTAACATGGCAGTTGGAGGGTGGGGTCATCATTCTTAGTGGCTCTCGGGCATCGTGTTGTGCGGACGCGTCCTGTAATTTAACCCTTGATGTTGTTCTGCTGTTATAAATAATTCTGCAAGTGAGCATCACCCACGTATTTGCAGCTTGCATATTTCTACCCTATTAGGACAGATTCCTACATGCCGAATTGCTGGGTAAGAATTTCACTTTTTGATAGATGCCTCTGAAGTCCCACGTGGCCAAGCGCGACCGTCTCTTCTCCCGCTTAGCCCGAACCACACGGTCTTCTCCACAGGATTCAGGCTCTGGTGGTTGTCAGTCTCCTGCTTTTGGGCAGCGAGGAACGTTTGCTTTATCATGCTTCGTACTGTCAAACCAGTGTTAGGTTATTTCAGTAGAGGGAAAAAGCCCTCAGAATCCCCACTATCCTTTCCTAATAAGTACCTGTTATTCTTTTTGTGTGAATAGAGCCCCTTTTACATTTCTGTTGATTGGTTAGGTGAAATGAGAGTAGTGGTCTAAAGTGTGTGAGCCTTTTTTTTTCCATTCTCATTGAATGAGTTTAAATAGATGATGTATTCAAAAGGGTGTACAGTGAAAAATAACTCCGTCCCACTTCTGAGCCCCTGACCGCTTGATCTTTGTCTACAAAGGCAGCCCGACTTGCCAGATTCTCACATTTACTTCTAGAATGTAGTCTGTGCCCGGTGAGTATGTGAGTCTGGGTTCCCTTCCTCCCTCCTTAGAGTGCTCCACAACCACTCCTTTGCTCCTTCCTTTTATCCCTTAATAGTGTATCGTGGAAACCATCCCGCCTCATTTCAGATGACGTGAGCTCATTCTTACAGAGTATGGTGTTGTATAACTCTGCCATAATGCATATCATCTGTTCCCTTCTGTGGGGTCGTAGCCAGGCTTTGGCCATTACATATAGTACTGCAGTGGCCATCTCTTCATACGATATGCAGGCAGGTGGTAGAAAACCCAGTCCCTCCACATCGACAAGAGACATCTCATCACCCCTCTCAGTGGTGTCTTTTGGAGAGTCTGCTGCCGAGTTGGCGGGGTTGCAGGAAGAGTCCCTTGTGGTCCTGCTGTTCTGGTATGAATTCTCTCCATTTCAGCACAGAGTCAGAAATGAAATTATTGGAATCTAATACTTAAGGTAAAATAGACTATTTTTTTCCAGAGAGAAAAAACATACTTAGTATTTAATTTGAGCATATGTGTTTTATTAGTAATACCTATACCCACACATGCCTTGAAGGTCAAAACAACATAACTTTAATTAGCTATAATTATACTATTTTGTGTTTTCTCTTACATTTTGGTACTTTTGAACTAGAACCACTGTAGTCATGTTCTTCCTTCTTTCTGTTCTTACCTCAGAACGAGTTGCCTTTTCCATGGCATCAGAATTTTATTAATATCAGAGCAGTGACGCTCCCCTGGCTTGAAAGTTCCGTGGCTGTCATGCAGATCAGTTCAGTATTGGCAGTGCATTCAGACTTGTGACTGGAGCTGTGTCTCTTTTGGGGAAAAGGCTAGAACCTAGAAGGAAACCATCTTATATGAAATATGCTGACCCAACCAGAGACTCAGGCCATTTATGAGGCAGAACTAAGTGGTAGGTGAGCCTCTGCTGATCCCTGGGGTGGCCTCTGGTCAACAGGGGTGTAATTATGCTGTTTGTCTTGGCTTAGCCTTGTGTGTCATGGAGAGCAGGGGGAGGAACAGAGCCAGCCATTGAATTTCTCCTGAAGTTTGAGGTTTCCCTCTTGTTCTCAGGATTTAGATTTAACTACAGATGTTGACTCTTTATTTGTTTCTTGGGTAGTGACTGTGACCCTGCATTTGTTCTTGGTCTGTGTACCGTGTCCCCAAACTGTGTTTGCCTCTCTCCTGTTTTTGAAGATTCTATAATGACTTCTACACTCGTGACAGCCTAGCTCTAGTGTCCCTGCCACACAGAACTCGTGTGTAACAGGACACTCTGGTAGTGTAGGCTTGACCTGCTTCCAGATGTCACCAGTCTTCTCACAGTGAACTTCTAAATCAGAGCAGGCTCCGCCTATGGCCTGAGCTGTATTTAGAGTACCATCAGCAGTAACACTGGGCAAGAACTTTGGGCTTTTTTTTTTTTTTTTTTTTTTTTTATTTCTAGGAGAGAGAGAGAGACAGCGTGAGCAGGGGAGGGTCAGAGAGAGGGAGATACAGACTCTGAAACAGGCTCCAGGCTCTGAGCTGGCAGTCAGCACAGAGCCCGACGCAGGGCTCGAACCCACGAACCGCGAGATCATGACCTGAGCGAAAGTCGGACGCTTAACCGACTAAGCCACCCAGGCACCGCAAGAACTTTGGGCTTTGGGAAGCACGACATTTTTCCCGGTCTGGAGTCTTTGGTGAAGTGTGTTATAACCGGTCAGAATAATTCAGTAAAACAAGTTATTGGGTCAGTTGGGGGAAAAAAGAGGGAACGGTGGAAAGTGAGGAAGAATTCTCACTTTGTACGAACTTATAATTTTGGTTCTTTTCTTTGCAACAGAACATTCTCTTGGCCTTTATTTAAAAATCTATGTGAAAAAAGAAACCTGTGTGTAGGTTATGTACTTTGAGTTGGATTGGGTTCCCCTTGGCAAATTACATATATCAACTTGTCCTGCCAGCAACCTGTTCCAGAGGGCTGGCCTTAATGACCTTGACCCGTGAGGAAACTAAACCTACCCTTGAAGGTCATCTTCCCCGCCCCCTCCAGCATCTGCTGCCATGAATCACATGATCTCTCCCAGACACCACAGTATCTTCTTAGGCTCCATTGTGGATTTCTTGGGTGCTGCTTTCTGTGCTTAGCCAGAGGGGTTAACTGTAAAGTGTTCAGCTTATGTGTTGATGTATGTAATTTTATACATTTGTATCTTCTTAAATTGGAAGTTCTCAGAGGTGGAGGGTGACCTGTAAATCGTGTACAGCTGGGCTGGATTACAGGCCGCATGGGTGGCAGCGACGATGGTACCACCGCAGTGGGACTGAGCAGAGAGCAGGCTACGTCATTCCAGAGCAGATAAGACTCTGTTCTGGCTTCTTTTCAAAGCTGGTGTTTTTCCTTTTCCATAATGCTGCCTCTGCTTTTTAAACACCCACAAACGTCCATTTTCAACGGTTTCATCATCCCTAGTTGGGGCAGCGTATGAGAGAACTGGCTCCGAGTTAACACTGTCCTGCAATTATTTTCCATCACCTGATTTGTGAGCTGTCTCTGCTCAGGCTCCACCCCCAGGCAACAGCAGCAACGTGGGGAATAGGTTTGGGATGATAGACTGATTTTTTCTTATTGATAAGCCTTCTCATTTTCTCCCATTTCATTGAAATGGTCTTGAGCCAACGCAAGCAGTGCTACAGACGTCATTCAAGAAGCTCATTGTTATTTTAATGAGTCTGCGTTAAACTGTGTAGGAAATTAGAAGGCTGGGTAATTGAACCGTGGAAAATTATAGCTGAAGAAATTCATAGCTCTCCTGTCATAATGGAATTAGGTATTGGCAGTTGCTGAGAGGGCAAAAGTGCATTTTGAGAGTTGTATATATTGTATATTTATAAAGAAACATTTCTCCTCCCTCTGATGCACCTTTATTTATTTATTTTTATGAGGCAGCATATCCATTTGAAAACCTAATTTCCTCTCCTAGGTGATTTACTGCATGCGATTGCCTTCCACTCCTGTCGTTAACTCAAGGTTACAGTGGTTAATAAGGTGTTTCTAGACAGCTAAGCTCCATGGTAGGCTTCCTTCCCAGAGCGGAAATGCATGTTACCTCCAGTAATTTTTGGCCGCTCCCTGCCCTAATACAGTGGAGAGTGTGTCCTTTTCTATTCTCTCCTCTTTCCCATCTTCATATGAGGTGGGACATTTTGGTCTGAACTCCTTTGGGTCAGCTTGGGGCCAGGATAGTGGGGAACTTGGGAGTTCATCATTGGAATAGACCATTTATTTCTGTTCTGCCCACTGCTGAGCAGGGTGCTGCAGACCTGGGCCGAGGTTAGGGTCAATGGACCCGGGTCCCACTTTTTCAAGTCCTTTTTAACTGCAAAATAAGCTAAATCGGGGCTCTCTGGGCCCAAGACATTGTGTCGCTGAATTAGCGACAGCCTTTTTTTCCTCCAAAGAAAATCAGTTAGAGGCTTACTCACAGGCCACCCCTGGCTCTTCCTCCTGTCCTCTGTCATCTGATCAGAGGTTCAACTTAGATGTCAGAGATCAGAGAGCTCCTCTGGAAGAAGGTCAGATTTCTTGCTCTCTCCCCAATTTCCACTTCCAATACTGGATTCTTTGAGTCTCCTCTGTCTTCCCTCAGACACTGGTTAGCTGAATAGTTTTCAGCATGCAGAGACTATTTATAGATCGATGGCTTTGTGCTGGGTACTGTGCAACAGAGGATAAAGGTGTACACAGCCCTGATCCAAGATGCGATCTACTTAACTGACTGAGCCACCCAGGTGCCCCCAACACGCAATCTAATGAGGGAGACAGAAAACGTGGAATTCAGGATGATGTGCTAGGTCCTGATACAGGGGGCATGGCTGTGCCAGAGGCAGCCCAGAAGGTGGCGTCCAGCTGCTTAACGCGGGTCACACGGTGAGGCTTGCGGAACTTGTGTGTTCCTCATCTCTGGCCATGGCACCTTTGCTTTGAGTTCCCGGGTGTGGGCCAGCCTGCAGTGTCTTCAGAATCTAGATCTCCCTGGGTTCTGAGGAGTAAACTGGAGAACTGCTAGCAGTCAGAGTGCCCAGGAAGTAAGAGCTGCTTCTGCTACATTCCAGCAGATTTTGCTGTTTCTGGGGCACCCAGCTTCTATCCCAGTGGGGCATTTGGAATATTCCCTATGTGTTCCTCTGTGTACTCTCAGCCCCTCTGGCTGTTTGTTTTCTAGGTTGCCAAGAGGGTGATCCTACTGTCTGGCACGCCAGCCATGTCCCGGCCTGCAGAGCTCTACACCCAGATCATCGGGGTCAGGCCAACTTTCTTCCCTCAGTTTCATGCATTTGGACTTCGCTACTGTGATGCCAAGCGGGTATTTATTCTCTCCTTTCTCTCCCCAACCCGCCCCTTACCCTGATTTTGATACTTACCTTTCTGTTCCTTCTCTTTGGCCATGGTTATGATCAGAAGCACACTGGCCAGGGAGCCGGACCCAGATTTTAGTCCTGCTTTGCCCCTAACTCTGACCTTCGAGTGTCCTCAAGGATAAGAACAGTCCCTCCTAGTTTTAATGCTTGTGATTCCAGGGTGGTGTTTCCCAATAAAGGGACCAGTGGCTGATGCAGAGGTGCATAAAACTCTGAGAAGGGCACCTAGGCGAGCTAGAGGTGAGGCTGGGGCAAAAAAGGCACCAGAGGCGTCGAAACAGGTTGGGGGCGGGGTGTGATTTGGAGCTGCCTCGGTGGGCTCTCATCGGTCAAAATGTTGACTCATGACATTTTGAATTGTGAATTGGGCCTGCTCAGTGGGCCAGCAGCCTGTGAGCTACAGATTATCCCTGTGAACACAGTGCCAATGGAGCGGGTTCCTCTGGACCTACATTGCACAGCTTCCATCTCCAAATGTGACAGAGGGAGCCTTGTAAACACAAATGCCATTGCAATCAAAATCTTGATTTTAATTTAAGTTTATTTATTCTGAGAGAGAGAGAGAGAGAGCACATGTGCACACACCTCTGCACATGAGGGAGGGAAAGAGAGTGAGGGAGAGAATCCCAAGCAGGCTCCACACTGTGAGTGCAGAGCCTCATGCGGGGCTCGAAGTCACAAACCGTGAGATCATGACCTAAGCCAAAACCAAGAGTCCAACACTCAACTGACTGAGCCACCCAGGCACCCCAGAATCTTGATTTCTAAAGCCTTGATATTTTTTAACTGAAAAAAAATGTTTATGACGTGGGGAAATACAAAAGTGGGGAAAAAAGGAGGAGGCAAAATTTTCCCCATAATCCATTCATTGATTTGTTCTCTTTCCTTCTCTCTCATTATCCCTGTCTCTGTGCCTGTCCTTCCCCTTCCCTCTTCCCTGCACCTCTTTCATATATGATTGGAAGATAATATGCACAAAATAACGTACAAGAAATGGATTCGTTTTGTAAATGAGAAAACCAGTATTTTTTAAATGTTTACATTATTTACCAATCCTACATTCCTCCCGATGGGCCGTTGAGTCCGTCAGTGTTCTTCAGTCTGACCAAGCCAGCCGAGCGTGGGGTACCGTCCTCCTCGGCAGAGGAGGCTCCTGACCAGAGCCTTGTCTCCCCCTTTTTGTCTACAGCCGTGCCTGCTTCCATGTCAGCAGTGTGTCCTGGGGGTCGCAGCATGTTTCCTGAGCTGGGGGCCTCTCCGTGTCAGGCAGCCATAACCGGCTTGGCCAGAGCCTGTGCACGTTTCCAATGTTCTTCCCCAAAAATAACTCGAGAAAGGATGACCCAGAAAATCAGCTCCTTGTTTGCTTAGGTGTTCATTTTTTTTTTTTCCTTATGCAGCTGAGCTGCTTTCTTCTGGGTTTGGGCTTTTTTTCTCTTGTGGGTTTGTACTCCTCCTTCTTGGCTCTGGTGCCATCTTCACCCTCCCAGATCCACCTGTGGGACACAGCTCCTCTGTTGGCTGGTGTGCCAGGACCTTGGTTGGCCGCGGGGGACGGAAGCAGCCCCGACCTCTCTGGCGGCTGGGATGGGAGTGGGGCTGGGTGGCATCTTCTTCCTGCGCCCCTAGTAGCTTCCTCTGGTCCAGGCTCTGGGACTTCCACAACCGGAAACCAGACGCAAGTTTTATTAATTTTTCTTTCTACTCTGTCTTTGAAACTGGGGCCAGGGCAATGAATTTATCCTTCAGCAGCAATCCTTCATCTGGCAAGTCAGACTCCTCAACTCCTCACCTCTGTTCCCATGAGGGTCCACACGGCCTTGAATGAAAATGGCAAACTCCGGCCCTGTCTCTCAACTGTAGATCATTTCTCCTTTTCCCCAGCTGGTCTGCCCCACCCCTGGCTTCCCCTGACTTCTTTCTTGTGGGCGGGGCCCCTGCTGCAAAGACTCCAACTGGACTCTAGGACCTCCGGTTTTGTGATCAAATGACAACTATACTGAGCCACTATTTGCATCGAAGATGCTGACACATTGGAGAAGTGGCTGCAGCTCACTCCTTTCACATGCATGCCGAAAAAGCCTTGCTGTGCAAGTTTGTGATGTAAATAAGATTGTCTGCCTTATTTTTTAACTGCTTCTTTCAAAAAACTTTCAAGTACTTTAAAAATACCCACTTACATTCAAACAAAGTGCTTATAATGTAAATTGTAGTGCTTTGCAAAGTTAATTGCAAACCATTTTTAGCTGCTTATTGAGGCAGGAAATTTCTGTTATTAAATGTATTTTAAGCCATACACCACTTTAACGAAATCTGTAATGCACTTTCCCCATGGATCAATCCGGATTAGATTCTGTATAGTTGTCGGGGTGCCACAAAACTCTTCACGAGTGATTTGTACTTCCGTCCTATTTGTAAATGACCCACTTTCTGAAGAGGACCTTCTCTTTCTCAGCTATCTGAGCCCATGGTGGAATGTTTAGCCAATGATGATAGGGGCTGAAGACAGAATTCATTGCCATTATCCCCAAACTGTCCCTTCCTGGGTCCCCAGTCTCTGTCCACCATCTCCCCAGTCTTCACACCATCCTCGTTCATCCTTTCTCTCTTCATTGCACCCGCCCACCCACCCCCCGCCAACCAACAATCAAGAACACAAACATAGTGCCTTTCCTTCCTTCCACCTAGCCCAGTGCTTGTTACATAATAACTTTTCCATAAAAGCTTATTGGGTTGTGAATATTCCAAATTTTAAAGCTTTAGTATTATTGCATTTTAACCTACAAGATTAAAAGCCAACAACAGTAGCACTTAGGAGCATGGTATCCAGATTAATTATGGCATTATCCACTTGTGTCAGCATCATGTTTATTGAATGCAGCTGGTGGGCCAGAGCTGCTTTGTTGTGGTTGTGGCTGTTGTGGCTGTTGTTTCTGGCCAGCTTCTTGCATTGAGAGATGCCCCATGCTGAGCTCATTTTTGACCCCATAGCACAAAGGCAGTTGCTGACACTTCCACTTGATTTCAGGGTATTTTTTTTTTTTTAAAGAAGAAGCAGTTTTTGATCATTTTACTTTGCCTTAGACCATCTCTTCCTATTCTCTATGTAGCATAGGTTTATAGGACACCCGCCATATCTCCACGATGAGAGCCCAGGTCCACTGGGCCTTGAAAATGAACAAGCCTAGCGTCTACTCAGGGTGGTTCATGGACCAGGGGAGCCTGAGACAGGAAAGGAGACAAGCGGCTGGAAACATAAGGCAGCAGACACCCTGGTTCCCTGATTTTCTATGAGACTGTAGACATCAGTTCTTATTTCAAATAAGATTATTAGTGAAGGATAAGGTTTTCATTTTAGCATCTTACCTAGCTGTGTGATGGGGAATAGATATTCTTGCTCATTGCCTTTCATGAGCTATGAAATGAAAAAACCATTTTTGTGAAGGACTGCCTGAGGACCCTGAAACCCACCTCTGGTCTCAGCCACACTGGCAAAATCCTGTGCTCTTGGTTCCTCCCTTCAGCCCATACCAGCAGCAGCAACACCCTACGTTCATGTCACTGCACTTGGTTGCATTGTGTAGCCCTTACTAAGGAGCAACAGCATCTTAAATCCCAATGCATCCCATCAAATAAAGATATTACTGATAATATGATTTGTTACATTGTGCAGTGAACTCTAGGAGAAGCCCTAGGGAAGATGATTTCTTTATATTGAATATGGAAATAGTCTGAGTAGCTGGGTGTCTTATTTGCCTTTGAATGTAATGGATTCCAGACCTCTTGGCATCTTGCATTTGTTGCTAGAAAGTTTAGCATGTAGAACACCATGATATGTGTTCACTTCATTCCTTACTTTTTCTTTTTTCCTTCATAGTTCCCATTTGTATTATATGAGGCTTTAATCATCGTTTAGAGCCACATGAAGTTCTCTGAACAAAGCCACAGGAAGAGAAGGTTGTCACAGCCTGGTTAACTTGGCCCTGGGAGAACCTAACTGGATGTGTGTCTCCTTCCACAGCAGCCATGGGGATGGGATTATTCAGGTTCCTCCAACCTCAGAGAGCTGAAACTCCTGCTGGAGGAGGCGGTCATGCTGCGACGCCTCAAGAGTGATGTCCTTACCCAGCTCCCAGCCAAGCAGCGCAAGATGGTAGTCATTGCCCCAGGCCGGATCAGTACCAAGGCCAGAGCTGCCCTGGATGCCGCCGCCAAGGAAATGACCACCAACGAGAAAACTGTGAGTCTGGGGCTGGAGACAGGGATTTATAGGGTGATGTGTCCACAACCGTTCCTTCCTGGGAGAGGCTCTGCGGGGGTGACCCTGAGTCCTCTGAGCTTGCCTTTCCATGACCTCTTCCCACCCCTCTGGACAAGGATGGTGAGCCCATGTCATTTCTCAGCCTACCTCGTCTACTTCTAAAACTTCTTACTAATTTGCAGTTTTATGCATGTGTTGACAGATGGTCATAAAAATAAACCCCATGGTAACTGCAGAATGGTGATATATATTCTGAATCCATCAAAGAAAGTTGGAATTTATGTTTAGTGTATTTCGAGAATGCCTTAGTCTAGTAACTGTTACTCAGTCTAGTAACAGTTAGGAATTAGTCCTAAGCGTATTTGATTTCTATGTTAACACTCTGACCATCCCATGTTATTTTAGTCAAAATAACAAATTGACATTTTTATAACAAAGTGGAGTTTTCAAACCCTCTTAACCTTTTATCCTTATTACAGTCATTTATGGTTGGCAAGAAGTTGCCATCCCCATTTTATAGGAAGGGAAACTAAGGCTCACAGAGGTTGTGATCTGACCAAAGTCTTATGGCTGCTGCATGGCAGAGCTGAGGCTAGAACCAAGCCTGTTACCCTTGTGTTTTGAGGTCTTTCCACCTTGGTGGTTTCATCTTTTCAAAACACTTTCATATCTGTCTTTAGTGTCATACTGTGCTAAGTGCTATAAAGTAATTTACACCAGCTCCATTTCTGTCCTTTTGAGATAAAACCTTGCAGTTTTCATTACCAAGAAAATAACAGTTATTGACATTTTTGACATTATCATAAAGCATTATCTGGGCCTGTTATTACCCTCTATAAAGAAACTTAGATCCAGATGAGATCCAGATGAGATGAGAGGCAGAATACGTGCAGTTTTGTTTTGTTTTTTTTTATGTTATTTTACCACATTATGAGCAAGACCAGCATGTAACTTTTAAGAAACAGAGTATAGGGTGAAGGAGGCAGTGATAAGCTATCAAGCTGTTTAACTTATGCTGTGTTACATCTAATAATCTGGGTGGTCTGGAGGAAGTGAGCAGGCATAATTTCTTTGCTGTGGGGTTTTCCAGCAAAGTTCCCCAGCACGGACATGGATGCACAGCCCAGCCATTCTCAAACTGTATTTCAGTGGAACCATGAGCAGAAGCAGGTGTTCTGTTGCTAAAATCAGCGTTGGTGGTCTTTTTCTGATGTCTAGAGCTAAAAATTCACCGAATGGAAATTCTTTTTCTCAGTTTTAAGCTTTTATAATTTTCTTAAATCTTTAATGTTTATTAATGGTTGCACACGAGTGAACTCTACTGGCAAGAAAACCAATGCACAGGTACAATAAATATAATATTAATGGGAAAAATTCAGATGCATGATAGTTTTAGATGCAAAGATCTGAATGTGTATGAACATTCTGTATTTTACTTCCTTGTGTGTATGGTGGAAGTAAGCCTATTGATATTTCATGGAATTTCCCAGAAAACCCCCTCACCTGTATCTGGCCCCCTCCCAAACCAGGTAGAGAACAGTCAGTGCAGACAACAGCAGAAGCAGTCAGTGGGCATTTGAATTGAGCAGGGACACCATGTTGAGTGGCCAAGCGGCAGCTGTAAATTGTGCAGTATCGCTAAAAACAAAAAAATAAATCGAAGTATGGGAATTTTTAACTTTTAGTGCAGCAAGACTTGAAAGCATTTTAAAAAAATTTTTACCGACTTATATAGATCTTCACATTAGGCAACGGGGCTCTTTCCAAAGATGATTTCAGATGTAACCTGAAAGTTTGAGCTCTGAGGTTACTGGGATAATGTGAAATTGATGAGGCTAAACCGTGGAAATCAGGAATATTGGGTAGTTTTATAACTTCCGGTGGCTATGTAAATCCCCTGAATTCTTTGGCATAGTTTGATGTTTTCCTACCTAAAAAGGGGAGTCAGTACTGGCCTCCTAGTCCTGGTGCTAGAAAAGTACCTGAGGACAGTGTTAGTTGCTCTGAGTCCCTCCTGTTGTGTGATTGTCGTCTCCTCGCCCTTCTTCCCAGAGTCTTAGCACTGTTTTACAGATTATGAAAAGCCTAAATTGCAGTGTAATTCAAGAATCCAGCAGAGAAAGAGGGGCGCCTGGGTGGCTGAGTCGGTTAAGCGTCCGACTTTCGCTTAGGTTGTGATCTCGCGGTTCGTGGGTTCGGGCCCTGCGTCGGGCTCTGCTGACTGCCAGCTCAGAGCCTGGAGCCTGTTTCAGTCTGTGACTCCCTCTGACCCTCCCCTGCTCACGCTGTCTCTTTCTCTCTCTCCTAGAAATAAATAAAACATTAAAAAAAAAAAAAAAAAAAAGAATCCAGCAGAGAAAGAGCCCAGAGCTCTCCTTAGTTCAGTGCTTAGAGTTGCTACGTGTCCTTGGCATCTCAGAAAAATTAAGAGTTTGTCCCTAAAAGAGAGAATTTGAGTTGGTACAGATTACCTTCAGCATTATGCCGAAGCTGGTCACTAGGTTCTTCCCAATGACAAGACAAATCCTTGAAAAATTGGTTCCCTTTTGTGTTCTTTAATGTCAATTCATTTTTATGATGGAAAATCGAAATAGAACATGAATTCATGAGCTTCGCCCTTTGGACCGCCAGAACCTTTTTACTCCAAAGCCGCTGTGTCCACTGTAGATCCAGTCAGAGGCACCACGCTCACTTAATTCAGGAAGGGGCGCCAGTGCCAGCTGGGAGTGAGACCAGATGGCCACTGACTTCCCTTCCAAACCCTGGCTGGCTGTGAAATCCTGAGTTGAAAAAGATAAAATGTTTGGGGGTTGTGGTTTTATGGTTTTAGCCAAGTAAGGAAGCTCTGTGAATCTGCAGAAAGGTGCCCTCCCATTTCTGTAGTTACCTTGCAGCCCCAAGTTTCCCTGCCGGGCTGTGCATTCTGGTGGTTCCAGCAAAGCGCTGCCAGCCTGTCAAGAAGCGATTCTCTCTTCGCTCACATCTTCCCATCTGGAGGAAGACGTTTTTTTAAAAAGCTTTAAATCACAGAAGCCAAGGCGAAGCAACCCATTTATGAAACGCAACATACAACAAAAGCTTTTTCTTATTTTCAGCTGAAATAATAGATATCTCTTCACGGGCTAAGAAAAGCTGACCCTTAATTCGAATCGGCTTTTGTCTGTAGTAATTTTTCGTCAGCAAGACTAGGCAGAAAAATGGAACAAGTCCGTGCAGCCTTCCTGGTGCCAATGTTTCTTCAGCCTCTGCCATTTGCCGATACATTCAGATTCCAGCACAAAAACATAGACTCAAAACCCCAATGGATCTAATTTAGTACAAGTCAAGGACACAAGAACAGAGAATGCAGGTTATTTAAACTTTCCTGGCCCACAGCTGGCAAATGAAGTGACATCATTAATGGATCAGTATTATGTCTACTTAGTTTGGGGGAGGTTTGGAGCTTTTTTTTTTTTTAAGATACAACTATTTCTCTTACATTAAAAACACAGTAGCTATCTATTGCCTAAAATCTGAAAAATAAAAGTACTTGTAAGAAAGATTTATTGTTTCTTATACTATAAAAAAAGAGTCACCCATCTCTTATAGCATATAGTTTTGGCATATATCATTTGGGTAGTTTCTTTTTTTTTTGGCTTTAAAATATGTATTCCTCACATATACACTTAAATAGAGTTATATATAATTTATGTGTATAATGGGTAACATATTTTTATGTATTTTTTAAGTATTTATTTATTTAGCGAGAGGGTGGTGGGGAGGGGCAGAGAGAGAGGGAGAGACAGAATCCCAAGCAGGCTCCAGGTTCCAAGCTGTCATCGTAGAGCCCAACTTGGGGCTTGAACTCACACACTGCGAGATCATGACCTGAGTTGGTCAGACGCTTAACCATCCAAACCACCCAGACGCTTAACCATCCAAACTCACCCCAGATGAGTAACATATTTGAAAAGCAGAATGAGTACCCTGTAACCATCCATCAGCCAGGTAAGAATATGGGGTGACCAAACCACATTGTGAATGCTTTTCTATGTTGTTAAATGTTCCTTTAAAACACAATATGTGTTATACTCTGATTTCTCTTCAGATCGTATAAATCTTTCGCCTTTTAAAACACAGTATGTGTTTTCCCCCGTGCCCATATTAAAATTTTGCCAGTAATTTTGAGTCAGACATTTGAGTTATTTCAGTCCACTATTCTAAGTAATAGCTTACATAGGAATTCGTGAACGTGGACTATATGGTGAGGGTAGATTTGAAGGAGAAAGTCGCTGAGATACAGGGACGTGTGTACTTTCAGGCTTTGGTGCACATCGCAGGTGCCCAGTGGACCTTGGTGTTTGCTCTCCACACCTCATCTCAGCTCTCAGCAAATCTCACAGGGGCAAGGTCTCTCAGAGCACTTCCTGCCACTTGTCTGTCTGTTGTTTCCTCTCTCTCTCTCTCTCTGTTAGCCAGCGTGACTGAGCAAGTGTGGGTGGCAGGGAGGGACCTGACAAGAGTGGTGGCGGTGTCCGAAGGGCATGGGAGTGAATGTCAGGACCAAGAACGACCGGGATGCCGTGTGCTTGTGACACGCCTGCTGCAGGTACGGTCAGCACCTGGAAGCCTGACTCTGTCCCTTTGGCGTATGCTGTAAGGGACCTTGTTACGTAAGAGGGCCTGGCTTGCTGCAAGGACCCTGTGAAGGGACATGAATGGACTTGAGGACGTCTGTGAGCTCACTGGCCGGAAGTGAAACGTTGTGTGTGTCCAGAGCTGCGTCAGAGTCTAAGCTGGGTCTGTAGCTGAGAAAGAGTTTAAGACCCTGCCATGGGATCACGTCTCCAATGAGAGTTCCCAGGAGGTTTGAATTGTTCACTTGGACCTTGGTCACAAGCTAGGAGGGACGGTGGCCACTACTTCCCTGTCAGTGGCCCCAGCTTCCTGCGGTTACTTCCTTCTCATCAACGCCTGGAGGAAAGATGCTGTTAAGAGCTAGGGAGCTGTTTTGACCAGGGAGCTCCTGCGCCATTGCACCACCCATTGTTTAAGGTGTCATTGGTAGTTTTTCTATAAAACGTATGTATATTTGGCTTTAAAATATGTGTTATATACATATATACTTATATAGAGATATATATAACTTATGTAATGAGTAACATTTTATTTATTTTTTATGTTTATTTATTTTGATTCATTTAGAGAGAGAAATAGAGAGCAAGCGGGGGAGGGGCAGAGAGAGAGGGAGACAGAATCCCAAGCAGGCTTCACAGCCTGCCTGTGGTTGCTTTCCTGACTTATCCTCGAGTTCAGGGCCATATGTGTTATTACTGTGGGGTCATTTCTTTGTTCTCTGAAGATGCCATTGTGTCAGTGTGTCAGTGACTGGCCTCACAGGGCTCAGGCACAGAAAAAGTAGAGGCATCTGTAACCCTACCCTTCCTGGTGGAAGGAGAGAGCTGCCCTAGCAATGGTGACAAGAGTGTCCTCCCTGGGGCCCAGAGTGATAGAAAATGTTATCTCATAACATTTTGAAACTTTGTGTGCGCCTTCTGTGTTAGCATTCTCAAGTAGTACTTATTCAGATGCAAACTATAAAGAAAACATGGTTTCTTCTCCTGGGAGGTCAATCACCTAATGTGAGAGCCGGGCCAAAACATGTAAATAATAGTTTTGAGATGATACTAGAATAGGCTAATTGGCATCAGGTGGAATCAATTGAGTATGTCTTAGACAGAAGTAAACTTAGTTAGTGGTGCCTGGGTGGCTCAGTCAGTTACACATCCAACTTCGGCTCAGGTCATGTTCTCATGGCTGGTGAGTTTCAGCCCCACATCAGGCTCTGTGCTGACAGCTCAGAGCCTGGAGCCTACTTTGGATTCTGTACCTCCCTCTCTGTCTGCCCCTCACCTGCTTATGCTCAGTTTCTCTCTCTTAAAAATAAACATAAACATTAAAAATTAAAAAAAAAAAACTTTAAAAAAAGTAAACAGGTATGGAAACGATGTGGCAGAAGAGAAAGAGGAGGCAAGAACAGCATGGGCCATTGGCGTGTGGAAGTCACCAGGCTGTAGTAAATGGCTTAAATAGCTTAGCAAGGCTGCATTTCAGCCGCTCATGTGAGCTTGGCATGGATGGTGGGTGAAGCCCGATTCCAGGGGCTTTCATATTCACAACAGTTCTTGGGAGATGACTAGGTACCTGTCAGGCCACATTTCTGATGACAAACTGGAGTCTAAACAGTTCCCATGGGTTGGCTAAAGTCAGGGTCTCCTGGTTCCAATAACTGGTGTTAGAATCTGTAAAGCTCGGGCACCTGGGTGGCTTAGTCACTTAAGCATCTGACTTTGGCTCAGGTCATGATCTCATAGTTCGTGGGTTCGAGCCCTGCATCGGGCTCTATGCTGACAGATAGCTCAGAGCCTGGAGGCTGTCTTCGGATTCTGTATCTCCCTCTCTCTTTGACCCTCCCCTGCTCACGCTGTCTTTCTGTCTCTCAAAAATAAATAAAAAACATTTAAAATTTTTAAATAAAAGAAAAAAAAAGAATCTGTAAAGCTCAAAGCAGTGATAATTATGTCCGCTTATCCCAGGGTTTACAGAGTGGGAGACTTTAAACCTAGACTTCTCTTTCCACAGAAGTGGCAGCAAAAAGAAGCTCTCCTTCTCTTCTTCAACAAAACAGCTGAAGCGAAAATCCCGTGTATCATGTAAGTGGCCCCCGTATGTTGACTTCTGTCTCCTACCCTCTGTCTCTCTCTCATCTTTAAGAAGATACACCTGTTACCTTAGTCGGCCAGAATGGTTTTGCTGCTCTTTAAGAAATGATCAGACATTAGAATTATAGCTGCCTTCCATCTAAGGTTTAGTTAGCGCGACACAGGCTCATCCCCACAGGGCAGAGGCAGGCCTGTCGCTGCAGCACTGCCAGTACGAGTTTGGGATCCTTGAGAGACCCTGACTTAACCACGTATAAGTGGAGCTGCTTCTCAGGAGGGTGGGGTTAACCAAACACTAAAGGGAGCTTTTTCCCTTAGTAGGAAAACGGCGGTCACTTACCTGTAGAAAAAATTTAGGGGGTTCATGGAGAATGCTGCCCCACGTGGGGATTCTCTGGATTTCGCCAAAGAAGGAAGTCTCAGCTACTATTTACCAACATAAAAAGGCTGTACATACAAACTGTCAAGGTTTGTTCAAAAGATATGGGCAAGTGGCCATTGTCACACTGAGTTTTCCTTCCGCCTTATAAACTAAGGCTGAAGTCATAATTCCAATTCTTAAATGTATTCGCTGACTTGAAAAATTGTCTGCTTTTCTTAAAGAAAGGAAAAGCCCACTCATGTTCAAATATTCACTGTGGTAGAAACTTGAGGCAATTCTCATGACGTGCGTTTGCCTAATTTTTTATTGTTTAACATTCATGTGAGGCTCTGGCAGGATAATGGTCCAAGTGATTTAATTACAATGGAAATGAACTTGGTGTGGGCTGAGCGGAGCCAGCTTGGCTGTGGGGACGGAGATCTGTGGATAAATTGAGACGCACCCAGCCTCCCCCACCCTCTCACTCAAGCCTCCAGAAACCCCATCCTCTCCAGCCTCTCCCTCTGCACCCCTAAATGCGGTAAGGGAGTGAGTTCACTTCATTATTCAAATCTGAGTTTCCACACAAAAAGACTGGTGAATGGTGGCCCACTCTCCTTCAGCCTCTGGGCACTGCCCTTTTCATTTGTGATCCTGTTAGGAAACTAATGAACTCCAGATGTGGTTTCACAACCTGGAAACTTATCTCTCAGACACTAATCTCAATCGCCCCCACCACCCCATTTCTCACGAGCTGCTAAATGACAGATGGCAAGAGGGTGAGCACTCTCTCAGCTCGTGACCTACTAAATCCAGGGGCTCTTGAGTGCTGGCCAGAGAATCACCCATTTTACTTAGAAGGTTTAAATCTAGCCATTCTGCCACCTCATGAATAAACTTTGGTAATATCTTGTTTTTATCCATTTAGGCTGCTATAACAAAAATACCGTAGGTTGGGTGGCTTGAACAACAGAGCTGCATTTCTCACATTTCTAGAGGCTAAGAAGTCCAAGATCAAGGCACTGGCAGATGTAGTGCCTGGTGAGAGCCGTCTTCCTGGCTCCCAGACAGCTGTCTTCTCTCCGTGTCCTCACATGACTGAAGGGGCGAGGACGCTCTCTGGGGTCTCTTTGATAAGGACATTAATTTCATTCATGAGAGCTCTGTCCTTATGACCTTATCACTTCCCAACGGCCTCATCTCGCAGTACCCTCACCTTGGGGGTTATTACTCACCATGATTTGGTGCAGGAGGGCACAGACATCCCGTTTGTTACCTGCCTTTTACATACTTTTCCAAAATTCCACACTAACTTGTGTAGTGCTTCATTGTTTCCAGCCATTTCGACATCTGTTAACTCCTCTCACACTTAGAACCTCTTTGTGAGATCAGTCAAATAAGTGAAACTGGTCCCATTTTTAAAATCAGAAACTAAGTAAATCTCATGTGTATCTCGGGACCTCAGAGTCATACAACTAGTTAAGTGGAAATTAGTTTATAAATCTTAAAATCCCAGTTTCCTCTGCTAATTGTTTTTCTTCCCTTTTTTGCTACTGTTTGTCTGTTTTCACTTTAATGGGCATCTTTTGATATAAAAGCCACTGGTATTGTGGTAAGCAGATATTTCCTGCCTGGCAACTTAGGGACTTGGGAAGGGTAGAAATACAAAGCCATGTCTAAGATGTAGAGGAGAGAGAGGAATTAGGAAAATTGGCACCTATAGTTGTTAATGAGCTGTCCAACTTGATTTTATGGCTTTGTGACTTTTTGATGCTATAGCAATAAACTTGCTTATATCATGGCAAATTTTATGTCTCTCAAACTAATTAAAGTAGATTCTATTAGTACCAACTATTCACAAATTAAACTCAAACCCACTCCCTGGTTGGTCATAGTGTCGCTTGAAAATAATTCTTAGATGCTTAGCGGAAACCTTTGAGATTTGTCCCTCTCCGTGGAGGGCAATGTCCGCTCTGTGCCCAGACCCACCGCATGTACAACAATGGCCTCAGGCAGAGTGAGTCCTGTTTGTGTCCAAGGAGGCCTACCTTCCCGTTGCCCTTGTGGGAATAGTGACCTGTCCTGGGGTTGTGAGCCCTCTGCTGGGCATTAATCCCACAGAAGCCATAAGAGTTTGCTGACTGGGTGACCCCCCACCCTACAGTTCCCTGGGGTAGCTGCCTGCCTTTTGGCCATGGCTAAAGATGGGGGTGGGAAGTCAAGAAAAAACACAGCTGTGGAAGGGAGAAGTAAATCAAGGGGAGAATAAAGAGTGAGCAAATAAAGCACTCCACTCCATCTTCCTTTGCCTCAGGAAAAAACTCCCTTGCCACTAACTTAACTGTTGGCTTTGTGGCTTGCCGTCTAATGTGCTAGGGAGCTTTTCCCAACACTCTCTTCAGTATTATTACTTATGTTTCGATATTGCACTTCCAGAAATTTGATTACTGTCAAAAATCCCTTAATCCCCTGCCCAGGCATTTTCAGATCTTAAGATGAGATTTTCAGTTTGCATTGAAAATACATTACAATGATAGTAGCAGCAAAAGTGAAAACTGTTAATTATCTTCCGTGATCCCAAATAGTAAGAAAGTCTCACTAACATATTAGAGACACATAAAAATGATACTTTGATTTACTAGCATGCGGGAGATGACATAAGAGTAAGGAATAACTCTATCAGCACAGAAGGTGCTTCCCCGTAGCTCCTAACATTGCTTCTTCTGTTCAGGTGACCTGGCGTGAGCAGTAAGGCAGAGAGGTCAGCTCCCAGAGAAAGGGAGGGAAAGGGCTGGGGAGAGAGCAGGTACCTCAAAGGTGTCTGCTAAAAATGCAGTGAAATAATTTCAGCTGAATAAGTATATGTTTAATTCATTGTGCTGTCATTGTCAAACGCAGTGAATATGTCCTGGACCTACTGGAAAGTGGAAGAGAGAAGTTTCTAGTATTCGCACACCATAAAGTGGTTCTGGATGCACTTACTAAAGAGCTTGAGAGAAAGGTGAGCCCCCTTCGAAATTCAACACAGGATATGCTTTTTGTTGGCTGCCAAATCGTTCTGAGCGGGTTGAGGGCAGATGTGAACCAAGGAAGTGAGGTGATGTTTCCAGAAACGTTGCTGAAGACTTCCTTGAACCACAGTGGGATCAAAATATTTCCTAGCAGTGTCATGAAATTTCCCACATGATCCCTCCAGATGTCCCCGGAGTCTTGCTTTAAGAACGTCTCCCAGTGGACTTTCCATGACTCTGTGTAAATAATTACAAGATTGTCAAAGGAGGAGGTGGCAGAGATTTCCACTTGTGTGGAAACAAGTTATATGAATATCTTCCTCCTTTTCTTCTGTTCCCCCTTATGACCATCAAAATGGCTTTATTGATTGTACTTGGCAGCTTGCAGAGTTCAGTACTTCTTTTTTTTTGGTTTGTTGTGGTTTTTTTGGTTTTTTTTTTTTTAACGATTTATTTCTGAGAGTGAAGGAGAGACAGCATGAACAGGGGAGGGTCAGAGAGAGAAGGAGACACAGAATCTGAAACAAGCTCCAGGCTCTGAACTAGCTGTCAGCACAGAGCCCGACGTGGGGCTTGAACCCATGAACTGTGAGATCATGACCTGGGCCGAAGTCAGACGCTTAACTGACTGAGGCACCCAGGTGCCCCCAGTACAGAGTTTTTTGGCTGTTGTTACATTGAAGGAAAAATACTCAGAACGATTTCCAAGAACGTTTGTTAAAACTTAGCACATCAAGTTAAGAAACAAAACTTGTAAAGCTGTAACATTTCACATGGAAATGCTGCCCACTCCCAATCTTCACCAGCTTTTGCGTGTAGAATTCAGTCAGGAAAGCTAAACACACCATATCTTTGCCTCCCTTTTCTTTTTGGTTAGATTTACCACCGTAAATTGTCTCCCTTCATCTTTTATTACATTTTATGTAATGTTTGAAACATAGAGATGGGTACAGAGGAACATACAACAGGCACCTGTGCGTTCCCTACCCAGATTTAATAAATGTTTCGCTATATTTATTTCAAAGTATATGTTTTCAGTAATAACATACCTCAGCCCCTCAGCAGCCTTCTGATTGGTTCTCCGCCCTCCTTCTGGATGCATCCACTGTCCCCTGTCCTTCCCTCCATGTTGTCACACACTACTCCAAAAGTACGTATTCTTAATATACAGTCTGCCCTTGTGCGTACTCTTTAATTTACATAAATGGTAGCATAGTCTAAGTATCCTGCAATTTACCTTTTTGCTCAACATTATTTTTGAGATTTTTCCATAAAATGTTATATAGTTCATTCACATACCTCATTGGGACACTGTAGCAGAGTGTAGCCATTCTCTTGTGTGGATGTAGAATTTTACTTACAGTTTTGCTATTGTATGAATGCTTTTATATATGTGTGTACATACATGTACATACATGTGTGTGGTGGGCATGTCCAGGCATGATCTTGCATAATCATTGGATGGGCTCGTCTTCAACTCTATGAGGCATTGTCAGATTTCTCCCCAAGGTGGTTATTCACATTGTAATCCCACCAGCAGCATTTGGGAATTCCTTCTGCAAGCTCACTAACACTTAGTATTATCAGACGTTTTACTTTTGCCAATCCCAGGAAATGAAATCTCAGCTTATTCTTACTTTAATTTGCATTTCCCTGACTATCACTAAAAGTTGTGTCCTTTTATGTGGTTATTGGTCATTTCAGGCTCTCTTCTGTGAATGTTCTCCCTGTTTGTCTGTCTGATGGTTTGTCTTTTCTTACTGATTTGGAAATATTCTTTATAAATTCTGGACGTGTATCAGTTATGTTCATGTTTTTATCTTTTCATTTTGTTTAAGTTTCTATTGAACAGAAGTTTTTCATTTTTACTTTAATTGTTACAATTGAAATACATTTCAAGTTTATTAGTTTTTCCTTTATGGTTTTTAATTTTTATGAATGATTTTAGAAATCACTTCCTTCTTAAGGTCATAAAGATTTCTCCTGCAATTATTTCTTTCCTGAAAATTTTAGAGGTGGTTCATTAATCCACCTGGGTTTGAATTTTGTATATGATGTGATGCAGGAAGCCAAGCAATAGAATTAAAAGCTATAATCCCTGGAAAGGAAAAATCAGAGCTGTCACTATATTCAAGAGACCCAAAACAATTAATTGGAAAATTATCAGAATGCACAAGAGTTTAAGAGCATCCCTAGATTCCAAATAAATATACTAAATAAATCGCCTTTTTATGTATCAGCTATGACTGATTAGTAAATATTCAAGGTCACGGCACAAAAAAGCATAAAGCACCTAAATGTAATCTCACCAGGAAGAGTGTAGAAACCAATGAAGAATTGGAGAGACTTGGGCCATGCTCCACTGAAAAAGCACAAGACTATAGAAACACTGGTCCTTCCCAAATGAATTTGTAGGTTTAGCTCAATCCTAATATATATTCCATTTGGGTATTTTAAGGGAACTTTATATTATTACGCTAAAGGAATCTCAAAAAATAAGCAGGAGAGATAGCTAAGACAATGTTGAAAAAGAATGATGTTGATACACTTGATCTCCACATATTAAAATCTATTATAAAACTCAGCTATGTTGGTCCAAGAACTGGGGTTCAGATGGATGGAATAGAATGGAGAGCCCTCTTTGGTATTAAGAACTCCTTAGTTTAAATAGCCCTTTAGTTAAAAAACAAAACCAAACATTGTATTATCAAAGAGTCATCAAAAATTTGGCTTAATTTATTCTTCAACAAATAAAATTTGGATAATTGGCTAAGTAATTGGGTGGAACACTTAAATGAAACTCAACTGCGCTGTTTACTATTTTAAACTTCAGACAAATCAAAGCTCATTAAAACCATAAACCATTAGAAGAAACTATAGATGAATGTATAGCTAATCACTTGATGGAGAATGACCTTCTAAGCATAAAAGCAATGAAATCACATAGGAAAAACTTGATTTAAATTACCTAAAAATATGGATCCATTCTGTCACACATATACCCTGTGGTTAAACCAAGGGGGCTTTTGGGTACATTTGGTACCTTTTCACCGAGCAATTTGGCAGTTACTTTATGCACACTCAGATTTTTCCAAGCCCCTCTTCTAGGAATTTATTCTAAGGAAATAATCAAACCAGTCAAAAATTTATGTATAAAATTTCAAAGATTTACACTTCAGATTTGTGATGTTATTATTTATAATATCGAATAGAGACCTAAATGTTCCTCAGTAGGTATACTGTTAACTAATAGTCCATTCAGCTATAAAAAATAATAATGTATGTCTATGGTTCTTAACTTTGTAGAGATCACAGGACCCTTTAAAAAGAACCTGAGATATGAAAAAATTCAATTCCGCTCATAATCAAATAAATGAAAACCTGTCACATCACTAGAGTTTTTAAAAATGTGCAGTACTCACTACTTTTTATCAGGTACTTTGATAGCAGTGCAGTGAGCTGGACATGCTTATTCGTTACTTACTGGAAAGCAATTGGGCGATAATATCAGTATCCTTAAATTGAATGTCTCCCTTTTGCCCAGGTACTTTGATTTTTAGTAGTGTTGTCTAAGGAAATAACCAAATATGGGCAAAGAACCGTGAACAGAGGTTAACCTCTGTTAACCCATCCATTAAAAATTTTTTAGAAATTTTTATTAGAAATTTTTTCTATTAGAAAATTTTCTATTAGAAATAGCTTTATAGAGCTATAATTGATGTGCAGTAAACTACACATACAGTGTACAATTTGGTAAGAATCAAGATAGTGAATGTGTCTGTTGGCCCCGGGAATTTCCTTGTGCCCTTGGTAACCCCTCCTGTCTCTCTCTGTCCCCTGTCTCCAACCCACCACCGAGCTGCTCTCTGTCACTGTAAATTAATTTACACTTTTAGGGCATTATATAAATGTGGAATGATATGATGTGCACTCTTTCTTTCAGTTTGATTTCTCTCAACATATTTTGAGATTTCTATCTGTTATTGCGTGTTTCATCAGTTTATTCCTTCTTATTGCTGAGTAACATGCCATCGTATGCATAGTCCATGGTTTTCATCCATTTTGTTGGTGGACATTCACCGACCCATCCTTTTTTAGTGAAAATTAAGAATCCCCCCCCAAACATGAAGAAATACACAAAAGGATAAATTATGCTGTTGCCACATTAAAAATACGGACATTAAAAGTCGTGTTTTAGAAAGCTTTAATAGTTTATTTACAATGTAATGTTTTCTAGAGAAAAGCAGGATATAAAACATGGTGTTTAAAAGAGTATCAAACACGTTGAGAAAAGAGTACCTGGAAAAAATAGGTCAGTAATAGGACTGATACTGGTATTTTCTTAGTAATGTTTGTGTTTGTCGTTAGAAAAAAACAAATGAACCTTAAAAGCGAATAAAGCTAAAGTGTACAGGCAAGAACCCTGTGGCCCAGCGGTTGGCCCCTGGGCACTTAACCTCAGAGGAGCGAAAGCGTGTGTGTTCACGGAAACGTGTGCAGATGTTCACGGCACACGAACACACAAGTGTGGTAGCCCCACACTGGAGCCGAGCCAGGTCCCTTCTAGAGGTGCACGGCAAAACTGTGGTACATCCACACTACGGAGTAGGACTCGGTCATAAAAGAGGAAAGAGCTACCACCGCGTGCAACGCGCTGGATGACCTCTAGGGATGACGGCGGTGAGAAGAGCCCGCTTCGCACCCCTGTCCCTGCAGCGCGTGCCGATCATCCGCATCGACGGCTCCACGTCCTCAGCAGACCGCGACAGCCTGTGCCAGCAGTTCCAGCTCTTCGAGAACCACGCCGTGGCCGTGCTCTCCATCACTGCTGCCAACATGGGCCTCACCTTCTCCTCGGCTGACCTGGTGGTGTTCGCCGAGCTGTTCTGGAATCCAGGGGTAAGGGACACGTGAGAGCTGAACTCCCCGGGCGCACTCGTGGCCGTGGGGCAGCAGGCGCCAGTGTCCGTCTGGCAGACAAAGCTCCCGGTAGCCGTCCCTAGTCACGTCTTCTGTCCATTTCCGTGAGGCCTCGTGAACACATTTATTTCTACTCCCCACACATCCATCTTCAAAGAAGTGAAGACTCGCACATCGATTGGCTTATTAGTTCTTCACAACAGCCTTGTAAGGAGTAGGATTATTGACTCCATCTTGTCGATGGGAATATTGATGTTTTAGAAAGCTAGAAGGGATCTTAGCATCCATCCCTTGTGAGGAAAGTGGGGCACGGGTAGCTCAGGTGCATAGCTGTACCCGAATGGCATCCTGTGGCAGCAGCCGCAGCCCAGGCCTCTGGCTTCCAGCCTGTACCCCTTCTATTAACCATCACTGCGGGCTGCTTAGCCAATGGGGCCACAACAGGCAACTGCTGTGGGTGTTCCCTGAACATGTCCTTGTGTCCACTGCCCCTTTCTGATCAGCTGAGAGCTGTGACAGTGATGTGGGTCATTGGCCACACATAGGGCACTGCTTCGTGATGGGTGGGCTTCGAGGCTGAGGCCATATATAATAGAAACAGTGCTCTTGGGTTTTATTTATTGTAGGGCTTACCACCATATTTAAAAATCGCTCTATCCGTAATCATATAAGTCCTCTCCCTTGGTTGCAATGCGTTTGTTTATTTAGAAGGTAATGGTTCCTTTCACCGCGAGAATGGAAGTGTGCCAGGCTTCCTTCTTTTGCCCTTCAGTGTGGCCTCATGCTCACTGCTCGTTCCCTCATGGCACCCAGCGCTGTGCCCAGTACCAAAGGTCCATTCACAGCTGTCCGGCCACAGGTTCTAGTTCCCCCAGCCAGCGTTTTTGTTTGCTTCTCCCTTTGGTTGGATGACAGCTTGTTTGAAGGTAGAGGCTCTCGGGCCTGCTGCCTTGGGTTGCAGAGTGAAGCCCTTTGAGGAGGAAGGGTGTGGTGGGCAGTGGGCTCGGGGGCAGGGGGCTGCCCGCATCCACCCTGATCCCCGGACCTCACAGGTGCTGCTCCAGGCTGAGGACCGGGTGCACCGAATCGGACAGTCGAGCTCCGTGAGCATCCACTACCTCGTGGCGAAAGGCACAGCTGACGATTACCTCTGGTATGGGCAGCCCCTGGGGTTGAGCAGGGCCCACGGCAGGGATCTGTTTCCCTTGCTCCCTGACAGCTCCTGCCAGTGTCTTCAGGGACCCATGCAGAAGGCCCAGGAGCGATGCCCTCCCACTACCGCCGTAACTGTGCCAGGCCTCCTCCTCAGCACTCACTCACGGCTTGCTGGGTGCCTGAGGAATAAGGCGATGTGGCTCCCTTCCCACTGGCCTGGCAGAGGTGGCGTGGGGGGCAATTGTGATGTGTGGGTGCAGGTTTGCTGGTAAGACACTGTGTCCCAGCCATGGAAGCACTGCTAGACACGGCGATGTCCCCCTTTGCCCTGGTACAGGAAGGCCGTCTTCCAATGCTGCTGACCATCCAGAGAGAGTGGCTCACCCTGGGCCATGCATGCTGTCACCTAAGCAAAAACTCCCGAAATGCTCCTTCCCAATGCCATTTACCCCTTCCTGATACTAAGTTTCTTGATTCTCTCCTTAGTTGCTACTACTCTGTTCCAGCCTTATGACTAAAGAGTCTTACCTTTGCCATATGAGTAGGCTGTCCCTACTTCCCAGTCATTGGACTTGTGCATTTGTTAGGTAGGCAGCTCATAACAGCACCAGGTTCAGTGGTTGTAATCAGACATTTATTTCCTTTACATCTTCCAGTAGAAAGAGCTTTGAACTGGATGATATGAGCCCTAAACTGGTTCACAGCTGAGAGGAAGGAAATAGTTTCGGTTTGTGCCTTGAGAGCTGCAAACAAGTGACACAGCATAAGGAGGATGATCCCCTTTTAATCAGTCTGCTGTGCAGCCTATATTCATCGCAGCTTGTTTCTCCCCAACAGGCCCATGATTCAAGAGAAGATTAAAGTTCTGGGTGAAGCCGGACTTTCTGAGACCAATTTTTCAGAAGTGACAGAAGCCACTGATTATTTCCACAAGGTAACGCCAGCACATGGCTCTTTTCCCCTGGAGCAGGAGCAGGGGGAGGCATTAAGGTGCCTGCTCAGGCCTTGGGTCCCGAGAGAAGGTGTGGATCACTCCTCGGGATTTCCCCCAGCCTCTTGCAGATAGGTGGCCTTACGGTAGCTCATCTGGAAGTCTCAGTGTCTTTTTCTCATGGAACTGCCCAGAATCAGAAGCAGAGTTAAATCAGCAAAATATTTGAGTGACAGAAAGACTAGAGAGTCTGAGGATTTGTCGTTCATTTACATTTATTTAGCAACTGAATGCTTCCTTCCAACTGTAATTATCGAGGTAAATAATACTCAGGTCATTTTTTAATTTTTTATTTATTTTTTTGAGAGAGAGAAGGCACAAGTGAGTGAGGGGGCACAGAGAGAGGGAGGCAGAGAGTGAGAGAATCCTGTGAGGGACAGACAGAGAGAGAGAGAGAGAGAGAGAAAAGCGGGGCTCACCTGAGGCATAGCTTGAACTCATAAACCCTGAGATCATGACCTGAGTTGAAGTCAGATGCTTAACCAACTGAGCCACCAAGGTCCCTCACAGAGATCATATTTTTAAATGTAGAGTATAAATTATCTTCATAGATATAAACAGTTGAGCTAATTTTAAAATGACCTTACTTTTGGGGTGCCTGGGTAGCTCAGTTGGTTAAGCACCTGACTTCAGCTCAGGTCATAATCTCACTGTTGTGGGTTTGAGCCCTGCGACCTGCTTCAGATTCTGTCTCCCTCTCTCTTTGCACCTCCCCTGCTCACACTCTGTGTTTCTCTCTCAAAAATAAATAAAATCATTAAAAAATAAATAAGTTGAAAATTTCAAACACCTATTTTAAAAATAAATAAAGCAACCTTACCTTTTTTTTTTTTTTACGAATAGTTTATTGTCAAGTTGGTTTCCATATAACACCCAGTGCTCATCCCCACAAGTGCCCTCCTCCATGCCCAACTCCCCCCCCCACCCATCAGTCCTCAGTTTGTTCTCAGCATTCAAGAGTCTCTCATGGTTTGCCTCTTTCCCCCTCCCGCACTATTTTTCCCCTTCTTCTTCCCCACGATCCTCCATTAAGTTCCTCCTAATCCTCCTATACGTACAAACATATGGTATTTGTCCCTCTCTGCCTGACTTATTTCACTCAGCATAACACCCTCAAGGTCCATCCACGTTGCTACACATGGCCAGATTTCATTCTTTCTCATTGCCATATAGTATTCCATGGTATAGATAAACCACATCTTCTCGATCCATTCGTCCATTGATGGACACTTAGGCTCTTTCGATGTTTTGGCTATCGTGGAAAGTGCTGCTGTGAACATTGGGGTTCATGTGCTCCTATGCATCAGCACTCCTATATCCCTTGGGTAAATCCTAGCAGTGCTATTGCTGGGTCATAGGGGAGTTCTATTGTTAATTTTTTGAGGAACCTCCACACTGTTTTCCAGAGGGACTGCACCAGTTTACATTCCCACCAACAGTGTAGGAGGGTGCCCGTTTCTCCACATCCTCGCCAGCATCTAGAGTTCTCTAATTTGCTCATTTTAGCCACTCTGACCGGCGTGAGGTGGTATTTCAGTGTGGTTTTGATTTGTATTTCCCTGATGAGGAGGGATGCTGAGCATCGTTTCATGTGTCTGTTGGCCATCTGGATGTCCTCTTTGGAGAAGTGTCTGTTCATATCTTCTGCCCATTTCTTCACTGGGTTGTTTGTTTTTTGGGTGTGGAGTTAGGTGAGTTCCTTATAGATTTTGGATATTAGCCCTTTATCTGATATGTCATTTGCAACTATCTTTTCCCATTCCGTTGGTTGCCTATTAGTTTTACGGATTGTTTCCTTTGCCGTGCAGAAGCTTTTAATCTTGATGAGGTCCCAGTCATTTAATTTTGCTCTTGATTCCCTTGCTTTTGGGGATGTGTCAAGTAAGAAGTTGGTTCGGTGGAGGTCAAGGAGGTTGTTTCCTGCTTTCTCCTCTAGGGTTTTGATGGTTTCCTGTCTCACGTTCAGGTCCTTTATCCATTTTGAGTTTATTTTTGTGCATGGTGTGAGAAAATGATCTAGTTTCATTCTTCTGCATGTTGCTGTCCAGTTCTCCCAATACCATCTGTTAAAGAGGCTGTCTTTTTTCCATTGGATTCTTTCCTGCTTTGTCAAAGATTAGTTGGTTGTATACTTTTGGGTCCACTTCTGAGTTCTCAGTTCTAGTCCATTGGTCTGTGTGTCTGTTTTTGTGCCAATACCATACTGTCTTGATGATGACAGCTTTGTAGTAGAGGCTAAAGTCTGGGATGGTGATACCTCCCGTTTTGGTTTTATTCTTTAATCTTACTTTGGCTATTCGGGGTCTTTTGTGGTTCCATACAAATTTTAGGATAGTTTGTTCTAGTTTTGAGAAGTATGCTAAAGCAACCTTACTTTTAAGCTTTTTAAAGAACTCTTGAATTCAGTTGGATGGTAAATACTTTAACAGAGCCTTGGTTATTATATGTCCTTTGAAAAGAAGTAGCCTTATTTTTAAAGGATTCTGAACCAGTAGGAATGAATTTTTTAGTACTCACTTATTCATACTGCCCTTACTCTGAATTAGTGAAGAATTTCTGCCTATGGTGCAAGTGCAAGAAAATACAAGTGCAATTTATCAATATTTGTTTTGATTGATAATTAGATCTATTTTTTTTTTTTATTAAAATAGGGCTGAAAATTTCATCAACTAGTAGGAAAAGCAAATGTGACCTACTGGTAGGAGATAAAAGCAAAAGCTTCTGTTTTGCTGTGATAGCCTGCTTCCGAGAGGGGACGGGAAATCCTAATCTCATCTTAGAACTTGCTTCCATTAATCACCCATGCTCTGAATTAGCTCCTGGTCTTGCCCCATCACAATCAAATGCAGGTTAACTGCTGTTTTACTTGGAGTAGGCTGCCTTGTGGGGCAGCATTTCTCTGACCTTGCAGTTCCTTCAGACAGAGCCTGATGAGACTATTTCTGCAGGAAGATAGGTAGATCACATGAGGCTGACCTTAACGACGTTGAGTATCACTCCTCCTGGGCAATGTCAGGGTCCTGAAGGCAAAGGACTGTTGGATGCAGGTTGACTGGATAATCTGGAGCTCTTGCATGACCTGCTTCCACGATCAGGTCCCAAGGACTTAGCGTCACCAGTGTGGAGGGCTTTCTGGTAAGGAACAGTGAGGAAATTGAGGCCAGCTAGCTTGAGACCTGATTAGAAAGGGGCTGGAAAACCAGGGAGGCTACTTCAGCATCAATGAGGTAGACACAGGGGGGCCTCAGGATGTGACAGGAAAATCCTGTTCAGGGACAGCCTGGGGCAGAAACCAGTCCAGCAGAGACCTGCCAGGGATTGAAGTGGGAAGAGGCCTGCGGGTGAGCCGTTGCCAGTCTGTGCAGGCGCTGAGTGCCGGGCCTGAGTGAAGAGTGTGGCTGTGGAGCATTGCGGAGGGGACAGACAGGAGAGGCAGACCGGCTGCCGCTTTGATGCAGGACATTCCCAGTCGCCATGCCCTGGTGATGGCAGGCCAGGGAGAGAGAAGAATGGTGGGGGACCATCCGAACCGGGCTTTTCAGAAAGAGCTCCTGATGTGAGGATGTAGGATTGAGAGGAGAGATGGTTTTGGTATAAACAGCTTTAGTTTAATGGAACCAGGAGGTCCGCGGAGACACTGAAAATGTGTCCCTCTGGATGGAAAGACGGTCAGGGTCAGGAATTCACACTTGCAAGAAGACGGCAAAGGGGTAACGGCGAGCCCGACCTGTGCTGTGGTCCTAAGCGCCGGGCATACAGATGGACTTGGTGGGCGTCTGAAACAGTGTGGGAATCTGCTCATCGGTGTGTCAAGTACGTGTCTGTTTTATTAACCACTCTGAAGATTAGGCGTAAGCCGTGGCTGAGCACGCCGGCTTGGCAGTTGAATCACAACTTAACTATGAGCCCGTGGTGGAGAAAAGTCTTTGCGGGAAGTGAGAGCTTGGGGCAATTTCAATACGGATTTGGAAAGCTAGAAGGAAGAAAACATTTCCAACAGATATTATAGTTTCAGAACGGGTTCTTCAGTTGCTCTCACACCATTTCTTCTTTTGTCTTTCTTTTTTTTTTTTTTTTTTTCTTTTCCTTTACCCCACAAGTAGCAGAGATGGGAAGATGTGAGGCAGTAAGGCCACCTGGGTCTTCATAGCCATCGTGTGGCACCGGACGACATAAAACACACAGCCCCCCTGTGTCTCCTCCCCAGAGGAGTGGGTGGAGGGGGCCAGGCTGGAGCCCACATTCTTCCTCTCATCGTCTGTTTTTTCTCTCTGATGAAGGACCCAAAGCAGCAGCAGATCTATGACTTCTTCCAGAAGTCCTTTGAGGAAGACGGAAGCGACAAGGAGCTCCTGGAGGCTGCGGAATCCTTTGACCCAGGAAGTGGTTCCCAGGACCTGGGAGGCACGCTGGACGAAAGCACGTTAACGGGCAGCCCCCAGAAGAAAAGGAGATTTGAATTTTTTGATAATTTTGACAGCTTTACCTCTCCCCTGTAAGAGGGGCCAAAAAATAAAAGCATTTAAAAATCATGGAATTCATTAAAATATAGTAAGGTGTTTTGTTTTTAAAGCTTGCATTCCTCTTGACATTACAGCAGTGCTGGTGTCTGTCCAGCCCGGCGGGTGACCAGGCCAACGGTCAGCATTTCCTCTCTGGCCTTTCTTTGTGGGTCTGCTTGGGTCTATTTTTTTTCTTTTTTTTCTTTTTCCTTTCTTTTCTTTTTTTTAATAGTTTTTTCATCTAGTTGGTTTCCATATAACACCCAGTGCTCATCCCCACAAGTGCCCTCCTCCATGCCCATCATCCCCCTTCCCCACCCCCCCCACCAGCCCTCAGTTTGTTCTCAGCTTTCAAGAGTCTCTCATGGTTTGCCTCTATCCCTTCCCCCACTATTTCCCTCCTTCTCCCCCATGATCCTCCGTTAAGTTCCTCCTAATCCTCCTATATGTGCAAACATATGTTATTTGTCCTTCTCTGCCTGACTTATTTCGCTCAGCATAACACCCTCAAGGTCCATCCATGTTGCTTAGCATAACACCCTCAAGTTCCATCCATGTTGCTACACATGGCCAGATTTCATTCTTTCTCATTGCCATGTAGTATTCCATCGTATTGATAAACCACATCTTCTTGATCCATTCATCAGTTGATGGACACGTAAGGCTCTTTCCATGATTTGGCTATTGTTGAGAGTGCTGCTATGAACATTGGGGTCCATGTGCCCCTGTGCATCAGCACTCCTGTATCCCTTGGGTAAATTCCTAGCAGTGCTATTGCTGTGGGTCTGCTTGGGTCTTAAGCTTGGCTTTTCTGGCTGAGAAATAAGAGACATCAGATTGTAGTAGTGATATCTCATGTTCTTTGAGTAACGAGGTGTGTCCAACACAATCCCTGAAATCTGGAGTTTTAAACGTATTGATTCACCAAGTGTTCATAGAGCACCTACTGTGTGCCCAGCAGCGTTCTCGGTGCCGGAAATGGTTCACCAGACAGAAGAGAGCAAGTTCGTGCGTTTGCTGAGGTTATGTCGTGGGAGGGGTAATATTATATATCCTACAGAGAAAAGTAAGCAGGTGAGGGCAGAGAGCAGAACTTGACAAGCTTTTTCTTTAAATAGATAGTAAATACTTTTGGCTGTATGTAGAGACAGAGGCCAGCAGTGTGGAGCCCCTGGGTCGGGTAAGGAATGGGATTTAATTTTGAACATGAAGCCACTGACTGCTTTTGAACAGGGATATGGGGCAATCTGATTATATCTTTAAAAGCTTCCTCCAGTTTGTATGTATTAAATAGATGAGGAAGAATGGGCAATGGAAGAGTTTGAGATGAGGCCGGTGAACTATTGCAACTGAACTATTGCCTGGGGGCAATGCCGGGGTGTGGCCTCACAGAGCAGTGGTGTGAAGGAGGCTAGAAGTGCTTGGATTGGCACATTTTGACTGTAGAGCTGAAAGAATTTGAGATGGATTGACCGAGAGGCATTTGAGGAAGGAGAAGGCAGTACTTAGACCTAGGATTTTGCCTGAGCAAAGCTGTAGTGCCACTGACTGAGATAAAGGCTGGGGGTGGGGGGGCAAAGTCAAGGGTTTGGTTATAGACTTGTCGAGTTTGAGATGGAGATGCCTTCGAGGAGGGAAGTTTGCTGCCCAGCTCCAGGGAACACAGCTAGCCTCCACCTGGCCACAGCTTCTGGTTGGTCCCGGTCCACAGAAGCCACTTTGAGGTGACACCCTTGCTGGGGTACCCAGCATCGGTGACTGGATAAGGTGGGCATGAATGCTGGGCCACATAGGCATCTTGATTACTAGTATTCGTCACGGCACTGCCCACTCTGCACTGGGCTGTCGGCAGCTCCAGTTCACCTCCCTCTGGCCTCCCTGCCTCCTCCCCTTCCTTTCACAGACACTGATCTCTAATAAACACCCTGCACCCCAAACTGTGTTTCTGGAAAACCCAACCTGGGGCAAGATCCAAGTGGTAATGTTCTGCAGGCCATAGGGTTTGAGTCTCCAGCAGGGGAAAGTCACAAAGAAAGCTGTGAATCCTGCTCTCACCAGATTTAGTGGTGTTTATAGTCGTGGGACTGGAAGAGACCACCAAGCAGGTAAGGTGGCTCCAGGGAAAATAGCAGATCTGACTGACCCCAGAGCACTCCAACAGTTAGGGTTGGGAAGAGGAACAGGAGACCAAGCAGCAAAAAGGAGAGAAAGAAAATGGGTGTCCAGGAAGGGATTTTTAAAAGTGGATTAAGCATTTGACTTTGGTCATGTGAGACTCAGGTCATTATCTCACAGTTCATGAGTTTGAGCCCCACATTGGGCTCTCTACTGTCAGCACAGAGCCCTCTTCAGACCCTCTGTCCCCCTCTTTTTTTGCCCCTCCCCAGCGTGTGCTCAATTTCTAGCTCTCAAAAAAAATCAACACTTTTAAAAAGTGTTTCAGGAGCAGCTGAGTGGCTCAGTCTGTTGCATGTCCAACTTCGGCTCAGGATATGACCTCACAGTTTGTGGGTTTGAGCCCCACGTCTGGCTTTGGGCTGACAGTGCAGGGCCTGCTTTGGATTCTCTGTCTCCATCTCTCTCTGCCCTCCCCATTCCCTGCATTCTCTCTCTCTCTCTCAAAACTAAATAAACATTTTTGAAAAAGTGCTTCAAAAAGGAAGAAGTTGGTGCTTTAATCAGTATTATGGAAAGACAGTGGGCCAGATTTAAGCGAGGGTTTAGAGTTAGCCCAATTTTCTTGGCAGCAATGCCAGATGCCTAAGTTGTTTCAGCTCGATTGTGTGTGCATTTGTTCGTTAGACTTGGACGGCTTTCACTTCTGCACTGTTTACTAGGTGCCAGGCACTGGGCCGAGCACTTTACACGTACTGACACAGTGAACCCCGTCTTGGAGGAAGGTAGTTATGTTTTCATTGTGCAGAGGCAGGAACCTAGCCAAGGGAGTCCCAGCTACGGAGTGGCAGGGCAGGACCTCCAGCCATGCCACCCCCTCCAGAGCCCACCCTAGGGCAGGTGCATGGTTCCTACGGCCTGGGGCTCAGTGCTGCTCTGGCGCGTCTGTGAGCAGTTTACTGTGTGGCTCCCTTCCTAAAGGGGCTCAGCCCTGGCCGTGAACTTGAGCTGCCCTCTCTTTTTTTTTTTTTTTTTAAATGTTTTATTTATTTCTAGCAGAGAGAGAGAGGNTTTATTTCTAGGAGAGAGAGAGAGAGAGAGACAGCATGAGCAGGGGAGGGTCAGAGAGAGAGGGAGTCACAGACTCTGAAACAGGCTCCAGGCTCTGAGCTGGCAGTCAGCACAGAGCCCGACGCGGGGCTCGAACCCACGAACCGTGAGATCGTGACCTAAGTGAAAGTCGGACGCTTAACTGACTAAGCCACCCAGGCACCCCTGAGCTGCCCTCTCTGAAGGCTCCCAGCTAACTCTGCGCTAACTAGAACAAGAACCTGGAACGCAACACTTTCTTGGGCCTTTCAGTCCCCTTTCCTGAGCTTCTAGACAGCTCCAGTTGAGAGATGGATCTCTGAGAGCCACCCAAGCCTCTTCCCTGCTGTTCAAGGGGCAGTCAGGCATACTGACATGTCAGTACCATCTGGACTTTGGGGCCATGTCTTGTGTTAAGGCTCTGTCCCCCCAGAAATAGCGGGGCAGTTGCCAACTTTCTGTCTTCCTCGCTTAAACCTGGCATTTGGTTACTGAGCCTCCTATTAATTATTGTGTTGATCTATGGCTGTGAGCTTCTCTGCGGGGTCAGAGCTCCTTAGGAAGTCCAGCCTGGACATCTATGTCTATGGGGCGAGATGTTTCTCCTGTGTTTCTGAGACAGATTGTGGAGATGAGCTGCATTCCGCTGGCTTGTCCTTCCATGAGGAGCTCTGTGGTGGTGCCACATCTCCATAGATAATTAGGCCTTTGCTTTCCTCATTACTCCCTGAAACAAGAATGACCCAGTGTTCTCTAGAGAAAATCCAGAGTCAGAGGCCTGGGAGAGGATACTTGTCTGGGCTCTCATTGAGGCCATCTGAAGTGGTCTTTTACTATCTCACCTCCAGCTCTCCATTTTATTTTTAAATTTTATTAGCTGTACCAGTGACCCACTGGAAGCTTCCAGTGGACAAGTATTGGGTCTGTCTCAAGTTTACTCTTTGTTCCAAACAGCCACTTTAACTATTTGTCTAAGAGTAATTAAGAGCAATGGCTGCTGTGTCATCAAATAAGTTGTGCTAAGTCCCCTCATAGGTGGCTGCATAATCAATCTGCAGTGGACACAGCAATCAGCGTAGATCTGGAAACAGATACAGTTGATCATGCACTGGGTGACCTGCTGGGAGGTGGCCCTGTGGGATGAGAATCTGTATGAAAAGAAATGCTAATATCCTGTACCAACTTTGCTTGTGAGGTTTTGCAGTGATTTTTGCAGTCTTGGTGGCTCATTAATGGAAACGACACAGTCACTTCATTAGGGGGAAATCTGTGGAATGAGTAAAGGCCCAGGAAGCAGAAAGATTTTGGATCACAGATTCTGGGAGAGTTACAGAAAGCATTTCTTCCTCGCCTGCCCCAGAGCCTATCTATAGCCTCTGCTCTCCGTACTTACGTCACATGTCTTGAGAAGCATTAAGGAGCCCTCTTCTGGGAGTCAGTGGAGGTCCCCACATACCCTGCCACCCACCTGCTGCTCACTCGGTCCCCATCAGAATGTCGAGAGAAGTTTGGGTGCAGCTTTCTCACGGGCTCCACTGTAGTGTGGTCAGGTTCTTTTAAAGTCTTAGAGATTAAGGTAGTAGGATCTCATTCCTTCTATAAGGAGTTCCTCCTTACTGTGGCTAGAATGCAATAAGTATGCTTCAGAAATAGAGTGAAAGGTATAAGTGATTTTGAGACACACACACACACATATACATATGTGTATATATACATGTGTATGTATATATATATATATATACACATACACACACATGCAGTGTTGCTTAGAATCACTGACCATTGTTAAATTAACAAATCCCTGTTTTATTCACCTCGTGGCCTGCCACACTTAGTGGCCCTT